TCTGGCAAGAAAAGGATTGTCGCGACGCAGGCAGCAGAGGCGCATCGACGACGGCGCTCCTCCTCCGTCTCTTCCGCCGCTTCCGCTTCCTTCTCGACTTCTGCACTTCGACACCGCAGTCTATCCCTCCCAAATCTGCGCGATACCGCCAACACCCTTCACCACCGACGCCCTTCAGCGCCCTTCGAGCCTCGCGGCCCGCGGACTCGCTCGCCGCAGAGCGAGAGACGGTCGAAGGATTCGTTCGAGCGAGGCGTGACGCCTATCGTCTTCCCCTCCCGCCCAGTCGGCAGCACACGACGTCGTCGTCGCTCACCACCGCATCGACATCAGCCTACGTCTACTGCCAAACCGCCCATTCCGCCTCGTACGACTCGCAATATCATCCCTACCGGCACAGTCAGCGCCTTGACTTTCGCTCACCCTCGGGTGGTCGTCGTCGACGCTTCGCCTTCCTCGAGCTTCGTCGGACCGGACGTCCCAGAAGACGTCCTCGAGATCCGGCGACCGCATCGTCTTGAGCGCGGAGGGGACGACTCGAGCGTGCGCCGAGTCTTGCGGGAGATCAACGAGTCTCGAGCGGAACGGGCTGCTTGGAGCGACAGCGCTGTCCGTCGAGTTGGCGTGCGGTTCGATCGACGACTTGCGGAGCGGGACAGGTCCGCTGCGAGGCGGGATCTCGTTGCGGATCAGATGAGGCGCGAGCGACGAAGGTATCGGGACGATGTTGCAGCGCGGAAGAGGCGAGAGGCGGCGACTGGCAGCGAGGCGGATGAGACGGATCGGACGATGCGACGACCTCGACGAACAGGACCGACGCACTCGCCGCCGATCCCGTCGTCCTTCGAGCCCTTCACAGGCATTGGCCGCAAACTGTCGCTCGGTCGCAGCCGCGAGGGACGGCCTTCAGTGGGACACGGATCTGCCAGCGAGTCCGGCTTGGCCGCAAGCATCGTCGGCTCGATCAGGCGGCACCGAAGCGGGTCTCGCTCGAAGCGTCGTCCATCGACGCCCGATACCGCCTCGACTGCTCAGGGCGACAGCGCAGCGGTTTCAAGGACGGTGCGCGGCCAGCCTATCCGGCATCTACACCAGATCGCCTCGCAAGACAGCTTGCTCATCGCCGCAGCTCCCGCGACGCCGCCCTCGAAACCGTCTCCTGGCGCGCAGATCACGCTTCAGTACGGCGAAGCGGTGAGCGGACCAACGGAGTCGGCGCAGGACACGACGCCTAGACGCAAGCCCTCACTCGTCACGCAGAATGCCTTCCTCTCCCTCCCTCCGCATCTTCACCACCTCTTGCGATCACCGGAACGGTCTCGCTTCACTCCCTCGCGCCCTGTCCCGCCCCTCCCCCGCGCACTTCAGCCGTCACCGTCCCTGCCCAACATCCTCGGCTCGTCAGAGGAGAAGCGAGGATCCGCCGACTCGACTCTCGAAGCCGCCAAGCTTAGTCTCGCCCTCGAAGAGCACTTGCAGAAGGGTGCGGAAACGCCACGAAGGGCGTCGCCTGTCCAGCGGTCGCTTCTGCCGCAGCCGAGCGTTGTCGTCTCGCGGTCCGAGTCCGACCTCGCGACTATCGCCTCGTCCCGCTCTGCTCAGGCTTCCACTCCTTACTTCCGCCACCCTTTCGCGTCACGGGAGAATGAGCAGTCGCTCAGGCGTCAAGAGTCGCAACTTTCGCAAGTCTCGAACACGAGCAGCCCTATCGACCTTGGCAGTGATCAGAACTGGAACAAGCTGGTGCGTATCGATCATAATATGGTGCGCGCTCCGGCTGACGACCCCTACGCAGTTCTACTCGCCCCCGAAGCCGTCCAAGCGACTCACCTGCCGCCTCTCGTCCGACTCTCTCGCCACCTCTTCCCTCAAAGCCCGACTGAGGCTCCCCTCTGTCGACTCCGCTCCCGTCAACCTCGACGCGAGCGCCGTCAAAAGCGCCAATGGGTCCGCCCGCAGTCCTTTTCTCGACAATCGCCGTTCGCCAGTCGACCCTCTCACGACCGCCGCCTTGCCTCGCAGCGAGTCGTTCGATACGCACACTTCGCTGTCCTACGCGACGGCGGAGGAAGACGGGGGAGACTTTGTCGGCCCTTCAGCACCACCGAGACCCCGTGCGACGCCTTGCCAGACTTCCTGGGCTGCCACTTCCTTCGGTCGCGCGTACCTGGGCAGCGACACGTCCCTAGCGACGTCCGTGGCTGCTGGCCGTCTCGCAACGTCTCCGTCGGACAGCTTCCTGCGCCTTGCGGAGGACAGCGGACTCGACGACACCCTCCGCCAGACGCCGACCTCTTTCATGGACTTCAGCCCGTCATCTTCCGTCGCTGCGTCGCCTACTGACACCTTCTTCGCCTCGGGACTCGTACGCGGCATCGAAAGTCGTGCCGGCCATCTCTCCCTCGACTCGACGCACTTCGTCTTTCCCGACACGCCTTCGACTCTCCCTCCGGCCGCCAACTTTCCCTTGCCCGACCTCGGATCGGCGTCCGATGGCGACGACGAGCGAGAAGATGGCGACGAGAGCGATCTCGAGGAGGACTTCACAGCTCAACTCGACGCTTTCCCTCCTACAAAAACGCCGGCGCTGTCCTCTCTACCCGTTGTCAGCGCCCGCCCTGTATCATCCCAGTCCTATCTCACCTTCTCCGACTCGGACGCTCCCTAATAAAGTTGTCGTTGCATAGCATCTACCTCTCCGTGCCAATCTATCGCCGTCTATCCCGGCCGTCGTCGCTACTGCAGTCCGAGTCAGAATCCGAGGAAGAAGATGCGAGACCTCGTTCTGTGATGACAAGCGTGTCAGCGCCTCCGAGCGGTCAAGGGAAAGATCCGAAGACGCACTCTCTGCGGCACCTTCCTCATCTGCCACCGCCTTGCTGCGACTGCCAGAGCATACTCCGCACTGAAAGAGCACTGTCGCGATTAGAAGGACGACGATGACGCCGGCAAAGCCGAGCAGGATGGCCATCTTGCCGTTGCCGCCCGTTGTCGAGGTTTCGGAGGGAGACGCTGCGGTGTCGGGAGCCGAGTCGGCGGCGCCTCCGCCGCCCGAGCTCGCGGCAGGTGAGCCGCTTGCATAGGCTGCAGTGCCGCCCGAAGAAGCTGCTGCTGCGTCAGCACCGCCTGCTGCGCTCGTTCCGCCGGACGTTCCGCTGTTTGAGCTCGACGACTGGCCGCCAGTCGAAGATGTGGCGACTTTGATCGTCGAATTCCCGCCTGCGAGCTGCCCGAAGACGGTGATTTGCGAGTTGAGCGGCGGCGGGTTCTTCTCTGAGCAGACAGTCACGTCGCCGGGACCGTACTGAACCGGATTACTGCGATTACCGTCAAGTCAGCAAAAGTTCAACTTCTGCAGTATGCGAGGAAGCGACGCACCAGCCAGGTAGGGCAGGAAGAGTCCCCAGGACCTGCTCGTTGACGGACGGAGTTTGCCAGCATCGATTCTTGCCGTCTTTGTAGTCGTAAAGCTCGAAGACGGGACATCTGCGGGGGTAAAGAGCCGAATGAGCGGTCTCGAACACGAGAAGCAGCGGATGAAGAGATCCTCGCGACGTACTCTTCGATAACGCCCGAGTCGGCCGTGCACGTATCGATCGCTTTCTGCAAAACGTCACGATCCCAGCCGTTATTGAAGTCTCCGTGGAGACCGTATCCTGTCGGGTCGCCCATGCTGAGGACGAAAGGTTGCGTCTTGTTCATCGCCTGACTCCACTTGTCCTTCCACGGGTCGATGCTCCACATGATCTGCGCGGCATAACGTTCAGCGCACGCGTCTTAGTAGCCGTAGGAAGTGCTCACCTCGTAGAACAGAGTGACGATGCGGACGGGGTGGGTGTCGGGACAAGGTCCCGATTCCCCGCCGGCTGGATAAGCGATGTGCGACTGGTGCGAGGCCGAGTCGACATTCTTCCCGTCCCAGCACGACGGAAACATCACCTCGAGGCGAAGGCCGTTCTGCGGGAAAGCGTTTTGATAGTTGGGAAGGTGGAGGGCGGGAAGAGGGAGGAAATCTGACGGACTGGGCAGTTCTCGGGCGGTAGCCACGGATTGCGGGCTGCAAAGAGTACGTCAGCCACGCCTGAGCTGTCTTTGATAAGGAGCGCGAGGAGAGGCACTCGGGTTTAGCTTGCCGCCGAGACAGTTCGCCCCGATCGCCTTCGCCATGTCGCTTGAAGCGTTGTACGACCGAAGCTACACTCGCAAGCGTCAGCTCTGAAGCTTGGTGTTGAGGAAGGAGCGGCACGCACATAAGGGTTGCCCGCAAGCATCCGCAGTCCGTCCGGAAAGGCCTGCACCTTTCCCTTGTCCGCCTGGTTGTTCCGAGGCAAGTAGTACTGTGTGGAGGATATGAGTCAATCACGGTAACGGCGCTGAGCCGGCAGCGGGCGAGGGGAAATGCAGAACTTGCTAACGCACCACGAGCAGGCCGACTTGCTCGACGCTGGTGAAGGAACCGTTCGCCCAGTGAAAGTACACTGCAAACGCCGATGGACCTCAGCAGGTGTCAACCGCAGGAGAGACGGAAACGAGGAGGGTAGAGGGGAAAGAGGCAGAGGAAGCGGGAGGAGAGCAAAGTCGCGACTCACATGTCGGCGTCCAATAGTTCGACATATCCTGCTTGACCATGCACGACGTGCACTTGCTCTGCCGCAGCGTCTCGAAGTCGACATCGAGATTGAAGTTGCTGCCGCCCGAGATGGTGTGGACGTGACCGCTCGCGAGGCCAGGGTTCGTAATGGGGTCTGCATGAGCAAGCGACAACTCGTCAGCTCCAGCTTCAGTCGAAAACCGTGAGACGACGCACCAGCACGTTGGTAGACGAGAGCGGCGCCGTCGCCTTGGCAAGGCAATCGCCAGAACGCATCGCAACCTCGCGCGAGCAAGAGTAAGCCCGCAAGCAGAATGTAGCGCATAGCGCGACGACGAGCACAGCGATGGATAGAGCAGAGAACGGAGGGGAGCTTGGCGAGATATCCGGCGAGTCCGCGGACCTGGCAATCGAGGGGCGGGCCGAACGTCGGTGGTAGCAAGCCGGGCGGCGAAGTGGACGAGACGAAGGTATAGTTGCTCAGAGAACTCGGGTATGCGATGAGGTACGACAGATGATCTGTAGAAGACGAGGGTCAGCCCCCGACTCGCTCGAATCGAAGCGGTGGCGAAGGAAGCGAGACGCACCTAAACGAAGAGGATGATGAACAGCAAGATGGAGAGCGCAGTCATGAGAATGAAGATGAGCCAATTCGAGGTTGAGTCTGGCGGGAGAGCGTGAGCGGCTTTGAGTGGGGCGAAGCCGAGGTGAACGCACTGTTTTCCCGGACAAAGCGATCCATCCGTCTTTGAGCTTTCGCCAGCCGACTCGAAGTCGAATCGACATGCTGATCTAGTTCATCTAGCAGTCTGCGAGAAGAGATGGTCAGGGCGTGCGGGAGAGAGGGTTGCAGACGACGAACTGATTCTGCTCCCAAACCTCGCGCCCCATGAGCTGCGCCTGCTCCCTCAGCAGACCCACCGTGCCAGAGATGTCGGTCAGAGTTCGATCTTGCTGCTCCAACAACAGCTGGGTGAGCAGGACTTGTTAGCGCATGAGCCGGAACCTGGGAATATGAGCGTGCGTACCGTCTGATGTTGAGCTTCGAAAGCAGCATTTGGGTCGTCAGCGGTATCCTCTCCACCTTCTCGAGCGTCGTCGGTGTGGTAGGACGGCGGGTAGGCGGCGGAGATTGCAGAATGTCGCTTCCTGTCGAGGATCTGCGAACGCCGCCTTCGTGAGCCACTCGCTCCGGCTGCGACTCGACGGCGTGTACACGCACTGGAGACACCGTCTGCGATGGAATCTGCCGCCGTATTGCCTGGACGAAATGCAAAAGGTCAGACGAAGGTGGGAGCGGGAAACGAGAGTCGTCGCAGCGTACCGCAACCTCTCCCTTGACCCGCTCGACAAAGTCATGCCTTGCCCGCACCTCTCTGTCGCTGATGCCCAGCCTCGCCGCAACTCCCGGCTCTGCCACCGCGGCGACACTCTCGTCCAGCTCCTCCAGATCCGGCTCAATCGTCCGTAGATTGGCCTCAAGCTCCGCTGTCGCCCGGTGTAGCTCAGAATCGCCATCTCCAAGCGGATCTGAGGCGCCAGAGCGGGAGAGTCGCGAGATTGTGCCGGCCAGCTGATGAAGTTGAGAGAGGGAGGTGAGGACGTCTCTGCGCACAATGGGGGCGGTGCGGTCAGCATGAGTGCGAGTTAGAAGCTGCCAGCAGATGCTCACGCCTTTACTTCGTCGTACGGATCCTGCGACATCGAGTTGCAGCCGTTGAAAGGTCGTCCCGACAATGTCGCCCTCTCTTGGCTCCCTTAACACTTCGCTGACACCGCTAGGATGCGCGTTCTCGTGACTGGAGCTTCTGGTACAGCTTGCATGAGCGCGTCTGCCTTGTCTCCGTGCTCACCGTCCTCATACAGGTCTTCTCGGTCGGGCTGTCTTCGCCGCTTTCAAGGATGCAGGGCACCACGGTGCGTAAACCAGGTCGTTCGCCGCTCGCTCTGTGCTAAAGTGTTTTCCGACAGTCACGGGAACCGCCTACAGCCGCGCTTCGGGTGACCTGGTCAAGGTATGTCCCCGCCAACTCCTCGCAACCCCCACATGGACTGAGTAGCCCTGCACAGCTCGACTTGCAAGACGAGAAGGCCGTTGAGCAGTTCTTTGCCGACTTCAAGCCCGACTGCGTGGTGCACTGTGCGGCTGAGAGACGACCAGATGCTGTAGAGGCGGTACGTTCGCTGTTTCCCTCTATACCTGTTCTCTGCTCCGCCTTTCCGGCTCGTCGATGATACTGACGCTTTCCTCGATCTCTGCAGGACCCCGAAGCTGCGAAGAAGCTCAACATCGCCGTTCCCGCTCACCTATCAGCGCTCTCCCGCTCTTCCGCCCATCCCTTTGCGCTCATCTACATCTCAACGGACTATGTGTTCGATGGCCACGCCCCGTCAACGGGCTATGAGCCTGATGCAAAGACTGGACCAACGAATGCCTACGGGGAAAGTAAGTTGGCGGGCGAAGAGGCGGTTCTCGAGGGGCTCAAGCAGGGTGGAAAGGGCTGCGTCTTGCGGGTCCCGGTCCTGTGAGTGCTCAACTTTTGCTACGGAGTACAACGCTTGCGACTGACCTTTCTGCTTCACAGGTACGGCAAGGCAGAGAAGCACTCGGAGTCTGCGATCAACATCCTCGTCGACTCTGTCCGCAAGGCTGCTGCCGGCCAGTTAGTCAAGATGGACGACTGGGCGACTCGATACCCGACGAACGTGACCGATATCGCCCGCGTTCTTGTCGACCTCGCCGCCAGGTCCGCCTCGACCCAGCTCCCTCACATTCTGCACTTCTCCGCTCAGCAACTCTATACCAAGTACACAATCTCTCGGCTTTTCGCTGAGCTGCACAACCCCCCTCTCAAGCTTGGCGACAACCTTGTGCGGGTAACGGAGGGACCGAAGCCAGGCGAGACCGTCCGCCCGAAGGACTGCCACCTCTCGAATGTGGGCCTTCCTTTCTCTCTAGGCTTCACATGCTCACGCTGACGCTCCCCCTCGCACAGCGGGCCATCGAAGCACTCGGTATCGACACGCGCACGGTCGACTTCGAGCAATGGTGGACCGAGTACCTTCGCCGCGAGCAGGCGTAGCTTTGACCCGAAACTCCCGCTGCAATCCGAAAGACTACTCAACTACTTGGATTGCGTCTGTAAGAATGCTAACATGTGCATGGAAAGCGAGGGGAATGGCTACAGAACAGGAGGCGTGGGCTATTCACAAGGTCGTCAAACGTGCATTCGTGCTTTGATTCGTTAAGCGTAACGGTTGCCGGTCGTCGTGCTGTACTGGTCGGCCGACGAGCCGTACTGTCCGCCGGAAGCGACGTCCGCCGCAGCGGATCCAGCAGCGCCGGTGACGGGCTCGCCGGAGACCCAGTGATGCTTGTTGCCAGTCGAGATGCCAGTCGCGTCGGTGTTGTCGCCCGTGCCAAAGGTCGACGAGGTCGTGTTGGTTGTGCTCGAGTAGGTGTGAGGCGAGCCCGAGCCTTGCATATCGATGCCGGCGCCGCCAAAGCCTGCGGAGGACGACTGGGAGAGCTCGCGAGAGTTCAGTCACCGAAGCAAACGAAGCAGGGTGAGAAAGCGACACTCACGAAGTCGGACTTGCGCTCGCTCTGCAAGTGCGCCTGCTGAGCGGCCGAGTTGTGCGAGTGCGACGAGGCGCCGTAGACGACGGGATCACCTCCCCAGTGAGCGTTGTCGACGTGCGAAGGCGTGTGGGTATCCCTCGACGTCGGAGGCTGCGTTGAAAAGACAGCGAAAGTCAACTCGAGAAGGTCCAGAGACGAAGAACCGGGACGAACGTTCTGCGCCATCTTGTTCTGGTAGCCGCCGCCCTGCGAGAGGTTCTGCGAGACGTGTGGCATGAAGCGGTCGGTCTGGCCTTCGGTGTAGCTCTGGTGGCCAACGCCGGACGGAGCGGTCGGCTTCATGTCGGTGTAGCCGTGTCCGCCGGTCGAGTGCTGGTGGTGGTGCGAGGAAGAGGTGTCTGTGAGAAGATAAGCGCCTCAGCGAAAAGCCCTTGTCAAAGGCGAATAGGAGCGAGACGAACGGTGAGCGGCGGAACCGACGTTGCGCTCGTGCTGGCGAGCGCTCTCCTCCGGGTACTGCGAAGGGAACATGCTCGTGACGGCGGGCTCGTCATGAACGCGGCGTATGTCGGACTTGATGCCCTCATGCTTGTCCTGCGTCGAGGCGTCCGGGTGGTCCATGATGGCGGCGATGGGACGGTCGGTATCTTCGCTGCGGTAGTGCTGCTCAGTCTCGTCGACTGAGCCGCCGGAAAGGATCTTGGCGGTGCCGGGAATGAAGTCGGACGGTGTCTGCGCGAGAGGGTACGACGAGGTGTTGAGGAGACTCTGCTTGGTGGACTGGCCGACGTCGCTGGCCTTCTGGGTGGCAGCATTCGCCGTGTCCGCGGCCAAGGCCCTCGCACTCCTCGCCGTATCGGCAGCATAGTTCGAGGCGCTCTTGGCAGTGCCGACCGTCGCATCCGTCGCACTCCTCGCTGACCCGGCGGCGTAACTCGTCGCGCTCTTACCCGTCTCCACAGCGCGCTGAGCGCCCGCCTGAGCAACGTTGCTAGCCGACTCGGCCGTGCCGGCGACGTACTCCTGGACGCGATGCGCGCCCTCGGAAGCGGCGTGAGCAGCAGCTTGGGCTCCGTAGACAACTCCGGTTGCGAGAGCGCCGAGACCAGCGGCGGTAGTAGAGGCGGCTTGGGCGGACTTGTCGGCGACGACGGGTGCGGCGGATGCAGCAGCCGAGTAGGCAGTCTGCGCTGCGGCGGCAACATTCTCGGCGGTGGCTTGGGCAAGCTGTGCGACGGACGAGCGACTCATCAGCTTGCGAAAAAGGAAAAGGAGAGACGAGCGGAACGCACCTCCTTCTGCCTCTCGGCGGGAGGAAGCATCTCGGCAGCCTTGTTGCCCGCCGCCTTGACAGTCTCGACGCCTTGACCAATCGCCTCGTTCGCAGGCGGGATTGACTGAGCGACCGTCTCCTTCGCGTCGGCGGCAGAAGGAACCGTCGGGCCGCCCATCTCGCGTTCCTCGTTCGACATCTTGGTGCCGGGAGCAGGCTGGACGAGCACCCTCGTGCCGGGCGCCTCGATGCCCTCGAGGTGGCCCCTTCCGGCTCCTACAGCGCCGACGCCCTGAGCGCCAGCGGTCGTCGGATGCGTGATGGTCGACTGCTCCTGAACTTGCGAAGTGCCGCCGGTTGAATACGCGGGCAGGGTCTCGGCGACTGCCTGGGCGGGCTGCTTCGCCGAGTCTTCGAGGCCCGTCGCAGACTTGCCAGGCTCGCCGTGGCCGATGTGTCCCGTTGTGACGGGCTGCTGAGTATGCTGGAAAGCGGATTGGGAAGGTCAGCGCAAGTTCGCTTGCGACGAGCTCGTAAGACGCACCTGAACCTGCTGCGACTGCGAAGGAACAGTCGATGACTCCTCGACCGTAAACTGGTTGTACTGGGTCGCAGCGTGCGTGGCGGAAGAGGCGAGGTTCTGGACGCCCGAGGCGACGGAGGAAGCAGCCGACTGGAGACCCTGCGCGAAGCTGGGCGACACTTTCTCGATGGCGGCGAGCGGGGCGTTGACGAGAATCTGTGTGGCAGGGCAACTTTCCGATCAGCCCACCTCCCTGGCGAGAGAAGAAGAGTCGAGGGGAGCCGGAACGCTGAACGCACCCCTCCAATCCCGCTCGTGATCCTGGCGATGCTGCCCTCAGTCTCCTGCAAGTCCTTCTTCTGCAGCTGTCCCTGCTCGCCGACGGTCATCTCTCCAGCGTGGTGCGGCTGAGTGGTCGACTGGCTCATGAGTTCCGAGGAGGACGAGGTCGACTTGGCAAAGGTCGGGCGGATGGAAGCGTGCGTCTGCGACTCTTGGATTGTCGATGCGGAGGTGGGGAGGTCGCTGGCGGTGTCGTGAGTCAAAGAGGTGAGGTTGTTGGACATTCGAGTTCTGCGAGCGGGAAAGAGGCGAACGTGAGGTCAGCTCTGCGACGCGGCGGCTGCGTCGTAGGGAGTGTGCGCACCTGCTATGAGACTGAAGTGTCGTTGTGCGTTGCTCAGTGAGCGTAAAGAACGGAAAGAGGGAGAGAGGCGAGCGGGCAGAGAGACCAGCGGGCGTCACTGGGCGACGACACCTCTCGCGTCAGCCGCTGCGACTGCGAGCATACATGCACTCTTATCGTGCACAGCCCAGCAATCCCGCAGCGAACACAGCCAGGTTCGAGAGTTCCGCTTCTCGAGGCCATGACGAGCAATGGACGAACTCCGAACAAGCGAGGCTTCCTTTGGCTGGCGAGCGTGTTCTTTCGAGCCGAGGGCGCAAGGGAGATACACAGAAGCGCACGAGAGAGGATGCATGGTATACGGAAACGCTAGACGAAGAGGGAGCGCACGAAAGTCTACCCTCAAGCCCGGTCGTAACTCGCTCCGCCCGCCTGCCGCAGCCGCTTGACGATGGGAGCCTGTACACGCGCCTCAAGCAGCATCAGCACACGCCGCACCAGAGCTGGAGTAAACAGTAAGCTCGCAATTGGCCACGCACCTCTGCCAAGTCCTCTACCGAACTCGCCGGCACGTCGATGCTGTACGCGCTCAAGACCCGCTTGACGTCCGCCGCGTGCACCGAGAGCTTCGCCTTGCGCATCACTCGAACCTCGGGGCCGATCCAGGTGATCAGGACGAACTGCGACAGAGCCAATGTCAAGAGAGGCTTCGAAAGGCGCACAGAGAGGTACGCACCTTTTCCCGGAACGACTCGACGTCGTTCGAGTATTTCTGCGAGATGGGGACGGATCGGCGTAGGAGGATAGGGCCAAGGAGGGCGCAGGGGGAGGAAAAGGAGGTATGCGATGTGAGAGGAGCGGCGAGAGGGGGAGAAGGAGGCTCGTCAGCATCTCGCTAGCTTCCAAGTGGCCCCGTCAGCACACGCTACGACCTCTGCTGTGGTCCAGTGTGGCGTGGCAGCTTGCAAGAAGGAGGAAAGCGACGGACAACGCGGATATAGGCGAAGGAAGCGTTTCCAGGCTGGAACTTGGTCTTGAGCTCATCCAAGCCCTGCGCGCGCGAAGCATCGTTAGCCCCATTGCATTCGTTCCCACGCGTCAAGACCACCAACGCACGCCCTTGCCCGTCTCAGTCAAGACCAGCTTGTCTGATCGTGCATCGGCGTAATCGAGGAGAAGCCAGTTGGTCTCGTCCTTGTCGGACCGGACCGCCTCGTACGCGTCCTTGATCGCAGAGTTTGAAACGTCGGCCTGCGTGCGATGCGAGAGGGTGAGCGCGAGGTTTGAAGAGGGGACGTGTGGGAGGGCGGACCATTCTCGAGGTTCAGCAGACGATACGGGCGGGCGAAGAAGCGAAAGGAGAAGTGGGTATCAGGCAAGCGAATGAACTGGTCGACCTAGCTGTTCCGAGCGAGTGTGAGCGTGTGAGGAGAGCGAGCGACTTCGGGGAGATGAGGAGGACATGGCACGCCTCGACGTCCTCGGGGCGCGCGAGCTGTGACTGTAGACTCACAGGAACACTGTGCAGAGCCTCAACAGCCAGTCACAGCAGCGAAAGAAGAGCGTGCCCGGTTGTTGCGGTCGCCAACCCTCGTCATCAGTTCAACGGCTCTTTCACCTCGACCACTCACCGCCGACTGCCTCTTGCTGTCTGCTGGACCGACTGAGGCTTCCTCAAGACTCGTATCTTTGTCCTAGAGGGGCCTGCTACTCTACACTCGCTCCTTCCCTCATGTTGGTCGATCCAAGTCTGCCGCCCACGATCCAGCGCTCGGCTATCCCGCTCAAGGAGCCTTTACACTACAAGAAGGTGCTCGACCAGTACGATACTTGGCTTTTCGACGTGCGTCTTCTCCTCGACTCCCGCGAGACAGAACCGCTGACCCGCTTCTTTACGCGCAGTGCGATGGAGTCATCTGGACGGGGCCTGCGGGAGATACATTGTGCGTCGTCGTGTCTGACGGGCGCTGGCGGACATAGACTGAAGTGCCTGCTCGCAGAACACCCAATATTGGCGAGGCGATTGCGTACTTGCGCAGTCTCGGCAAAGGCGTCGCCTTCGTTACGAACAACGCGACGCGGAGTAGACGACAATATCAAGAGAAGGTGACTGTGCTCGCTGGAGGCGAGGCGGACACCGCTGACTCGGTTCGACTGTGCAGTTCGCCGGCTTCGGCATAGACGTCTCTATCGACGAGATCTTCACCTGCGGCTCAGCAACAGCCGAATACCTGCGCGCCAACGTCCTCCCGTCCATAAAGGACGAGGCGAAGCGGAATGTCTATCTTATTGGCCAAAAGGCGATGGAGGAAGAGTTCGAGAGCGAAGGGTTGAAATGGAAGGGAGGAACCGATCCCGAAGACGACGTCTTGCTTGAACCGCAAGACTTTACGCCTATCAAGCCGGATCCGAGCATCGGTGTCGTCTGCTACGCTTTCCAAATGCGCAGTGCGTGCCGCTTGCTCTTCCTTCAAGTTGACTTTCTTTGAGCTCACCCTCCTTCTCACAGTCAACTACTGCCAACTTGCCAAAGCCTACTGCTACCTCTCCGCCAACGAAGGGTGCAAGCTCATCCTGACGAACGACGACGAGTCGTTCCTCCTGCCCGCGGGCGGGTTCGCGCCAGGCGAAGGCGCCATCGCTCGAGTCTTGTTCGGCGCTCTGCCGAGGAGTTATAAGCCTGCGATCGTGGGCAAGCCGCATCACCCTTTGCTCGAGGTCGTCCGTCGCGAGTGAGTTCTTCCTCCCAAGCTCCTGCTGGACCTGGGCTCACCTGGACTCCGCGTCACCCAGGACCAAGTTTGACCCGAAGCGCACCGTCTTCGTCGGAGACCGCCTCGAGACGGACGTCCTCTTCGCCAAGCGCGGCGAGATCGACTCGATCCTCGTCTGGACGGGCATCTCCAAGCCCGAGGTCTGTCGTTCTTCACAGCTCCTTTCTCACGCAGGCGCTGACCCCGCGCTTGACAGAACCTGCTGGGACTGCACCGCGACCAGCATCCCGAGTACACGATGTCGCATGTCGGCGCGATCCTCGACGCCCGACAAGCAGACAAGCTGCCCAACTAGACCTGTATCGCTGTATCCTCCTCATTCTGTATCGCTTTGCATTGTGATTGTCGTTTCCTCAGCGCCCACTGCATGGTTCGGAAAGGATTGCAAGATCAGGGATCTTCTACAACGGATCGCACCGCCCGCTCAGAACGCCTGCACATCGAACACCCACGTCCCCGTTTCTGCATCGAAGTCGACGAACTCTGTCCCATCGAGGTTGCGCAAGCGCTTGATGTGCTGTTGGACCTTCGGGTGGTCCTTGTCCTTGATCGGCTTCCGCGTCGCCTTGTCGAGCGGGAAACAGTTCTCGAGCGTGATGGTCGCCGGGACGTTGAGGCCCTCGCCGGGGGGAGGCTTGACGTCCTCGTATTCGTCCGGGTACACGGTCGCGTTGCGGTCCTCGAGGCGGACGAAACCGCCGAGGAGCTCCTCGACAGCTGGGAGGGTCGAAAGGTCGACTGGCTCGGAGAAGGCGACTTGGCCGTAGCCGACGCGGCCGACGACGAGGTCCGGGACGGAGCGGAGCTTGGAGGCGGGCAGCTTCTGAAGGACGTCGAGCGAGGGGATGGTGAAATAGTCGCCGTGCTTAGGGGCTGAAGGGGTAGGAGGCGGACGGCGGGCGGGCCAGTCGGACGACGCAGCCGACTTGGCGGCAGAAGGCGAGTCGATCGTGGTGTTGCCTTCCGTCGCTCCCTCAGACAGCGCGAACGATGGCTCGTTCTCATCGCCGACTGCAGAACCGCGAGTCGAGGCGCCGCCAGCGAAGAGCGAAGACCGACCAGGGAGCTCGACTTCTGGGTTAAAGGTGACCTTGGCGCGAGCTGGCGTCGCGCTGCCGTCCTTGGCGGGCGAAGCCGAGCCGTTGAGCGACTTGCCGATCGACTTCTTGTCGATGACGAGCTTCTTGACGCTAGGTCGCGAGACGAAGGCGTTCGGGCTGAGAGCGACGTCGTCCGAGATGCCGTTGACGAGTCGCAAGGGAGAGCCGCGTCCTGCAGGCGTGCCAGGCGAGGTGAAGGAGCCGTGGCCGCTGGTGCTGAGGCGGAGAGGCGTGCCGGGTGCGGGTGAGGCAGTCGACGTCGAGCCGAAGCCGCGCAGGCGAGTGATCTTAGTCGACGATCGGCTGATGGGAGTGCCTCGGAAGGCGGTAAAGATGGGCGGCTTCTTCTTCTCCTCGAGAGGTCGGGCGGGAGAGGGATTGACGCTGGCGAAGAGAGGGTTCGAGCCGTACGCGTTGGCGTCGTCGGCTGAGGCGTAGGCGGCTTGCTGCTGCTGTTGCTGCTGGCCAGGCGCGGCGGTCGTGCTGCCGAAAAGGGAACCGCCCAAGCCGCCGAGCGCGGGCTGCTGCTGCTGCGTCGAGCCGAAGAGGGAAGTCTGCTGTGCGGGTTGCTGGGTGGTAGTCGAGCCGAAGAGACCGCCAGTAGGTTGTGTCGTAGTCGATCCGAAGAGACCGCCCGCCGGCTGCGCAGGCTTGGCGCCGAAAAGCCCGCCCGAACCGAACGTGTTCGTCGCTCCTGTCTGCTGAGCAGGCTGTCCGAACGTGCTCGTGCCGCCGAAGAGACCGCCCGTAGCTGGCGCCGTGGAGGCCGGCGCGCCAAACGCAGGCGTTCCAGTCTGCTGCTGGGTGTTGCCGAAAAGGCCTCCGCCAGTCGTACCGGCGGCGGGAGTTGAGCCGAAAGAGAAGGCGGGCTTAGGAGCGGCGGCTGCGGCGGCGGGTTGGCCGAACGCGGGAGCCGAAGTCGTCGTCGCAGAACCGAAGAGGGGCTTGTTGGCGGTCTGACCGAAGCTGAAGCCGGTCGACGCGCCTGGCTGCTGCGCAGGCTGATTTGAGCCGAAAAGGCCGCCAGAAGCAGGCGCATTCGACGCGGGCTGGCCGAAGGGATTGGCAGGAGCGCTTGTCGCGGGTTGCGCCGAGCCGAAGAGACCGCCGCCGGTCGCTGGGGCAGTCGTGTTGGTCGCGCCGAAGGAGAAGCCGGTTGTGGCGGGCTTCTGCGCTGCTGCGCCGAAACCACCGAAGGCGGGCGCGGCGGAAGTAGCGGGCTGGCCGAAGGCGTTGGTCGTTCCGGTCGAGCCAAAGAGTCCGCCCGTCTGCGCAGGCTGGGATGTCGTTGAGCCGAACAATCCTCCGCCAGCAGCCGGCTGAGACGTCGCGGGTTGGCCGAAGGCGTTTGTCGTACCGCTGCTGCCGAACAGACCGCCAGTCGTGCCAGACGTCGATCCGAACCCTGTACCGGTCGTCTGCGCGCCAAATGCAGGAGTTGCAGATGCACCAGTCGAGCCGAAAAGACCGCCCGTCGTTCCCGTCGTACCGGCCGCACCGAATGCAGGAGTCGACGACGCTCCGAAAGCGCTGCCAAAGCCGGGCGCCGCGCCTGCAGTCGGACCCTTCCGATTCGCCTGGTAGTCCTGCAGTCGCAGCTCCTCGAACGAGTAATTCTTGTACTGCGGCATGCAGGTAATGCTCTGGAACTGGTGCGCCGTCTGGTTGGCGGGAGGCGGCTTGCCCTCCTCCTGAGGCGGTTCCATCACCGTGGTCGCCTGGTAAGGAGCCGTGGCGGTGCCATTGGGCTGACCGGCCGGAGCTGCGCCGAATGCAGGAGTTGCGGAAGCTGGAGAAGGAGCGGAGTCATCCGAGTCAGTCGTATATGCGGCAGTTTTGAGCGGTGCGAAAGGCTCCTCACCTCCGCCGAAGAGTCCGCCAGTAGCTGCAGGTTGCTGCTGCGCAGGCTGGCCAAAGCCGCCGAAGCCAGTCGTCGCAGGCTTCGCGCCGAAGAGACCGCCCGTCGTGCCCGTCGATCCGGCCGCTGGCTGGCCGAAAGTCGAGGTGTTCGTGCCGCCGCCGAACGAGAAGCCGGTGCTACCAGTCGCAGGCGCCGACGAACCGAAGAGGCCGCCGCCTGCTGCAGGTTGTCCGAAGGCTGGGGTAGCATTGGCGGTCGAGCCAAAGGCTGGGGCAGTCGAAGTCGCGCCGCCGAAACCGCCTGCAATGCGTGCGGATGCGAGCATGGTAGCAGGCGAGGGTGTGAAGATGGAGATGGAAAAGAGAGGGGCAAGCGAGACGGGGGCAGCAGACGGTTCGAGCGAAGTCAGCAAGAAACGACTACAAGTCACGGCGGCTACGCGGCCAGCGCTTGATTCGGTACGCACCAAAGCCTGTGTTCTGCTGCTGCTGCGCCGGCTGGCCGAAAGCAGGAGTCGCCGATGCGCCAAAGCCGCCTGTGAGACGGTTCAATCGAGGAAGAGAAACGGGAGAGGTCAGCGTCCCGACTCGAGAGGGCGCGCGGCGGTCCGCTGGAACTCCCGCAACAACACTTTGCCCGTACGCCAAGGCGAAGAGGGACTGCGGACGCACCTGAGCCGAACGTCGTCCCCGTCTGGCCAAACAGCCCGCCGCCCGTCTGGCCCGGCTGCTGCTGTTGCTGCTGTTGCTGCTGTTGCTGCTGCTGGCCGAAGCCGCCGAAAGGGGAGCCAGTACCGCCAAACATGGTATGCTAGGCTTTCTGCCGAGGAGATGAGGGAGGGGAGGACCTGTGGGAGTCGAGTGAGCGCGAGAGCGCGACGACGGGTCGTACCGAGCGGTCAGCGCACCGGCTAGTCCTGCCACAAGTTCTGCACGCTTTAATAGCCCCTTCTGGCTGGCGCAGGCGGTGTGTCGAGCTGCCGGAGCGAGGTGACGGTCGGAGGAGTTGAGGAAGAAGGAGAGCGTCGCGAAAGCGTGCGAGGGATGGAGGCAGCTGTGTACTACCTAAGCAAGAGCACGAGTAGCCCAGGCAAGTCGCAGAGCGCGCAGCACCGGTAGCAGCGTGTGGGCAGGACGCAACTTCTCCTCGCCCTCCTTGACCCTCTTCCTCTCGCTTGCTCGCTCAGTCAACGGTAGAACGAGTTCAAATGCTGTTTCATACGCTCTACTTTCCATCTACAACACAGTGAGGACGTCGCTCCCCATTCCCAAGTCGCACCCGCCCCTGGTTTCGAGCGCCTCACGCTTCAAGACCCAAACCGTCGCCCTCTGACCCGCCAGCTGCTTCGCACGCCAAGCATCCTCCTCGAGCCGCCGCACGAAGTCGTCCGAAGCAGGACCTGGCGAGACGTAGATGACGCCTTGGCTCAGAGACTCGTCTCGTCCCGTCTTCCTCGGCGCCAGCTCGGTTGCCCGTGCCAGACCCGCCGCGACGAGCAGCTTCCCCGGCGTTGCGATGTAGTTGCTGAGACTAAGGTGTGGGTTGCGGGGCTCGGGGACGACTGCTGTTGGCGAAAGAGGCGGGTACAGCGTCCAGGCGTACGAGGCGAAGTCAAACTTGGCTGCTTCGAGGTGCGATTCGACGCCGTAAAGGGATAGCGGCAATGAGGCGAACGACCGCAACTGCACGCTAGACTGATTGCCGACAGCAGATGTGAGGCGGCGTCGCTTGCGAGTACTCGAAGAGAACGTCGACGGCTCAGCGAGAGTGCTGCCGGTCTGTGCGATCGTTCGGCGGCGTAGAAGCGTATTCGTCGAGTCGATTGTCACAACGGGCGGGCGAACGCCCTGACTAGGCGGTGACGGGGCGTCCGAACGAGCACAAGGCGACGAGACCGAGCGGCCCATGGCGACAGATGAGCGCAGTCGAGGTGGAGTCGCAGGCAGTGTCGCAAGGGATGCCGAGTCTGTCCTGCGATCGGCGTCGGAACGGGGCGGGGTCACCTGGCGAGGCGGATTCGCAGGTTGCGACTTGTCGAGGTTGCGTTGAGCCTCCGTAGCAGCTAGACTGCCAAGCGACTTCGGGCGCTTCAGCGTGCTAGAGACCGCCTTCAAGTGTTTGAGGCCGTTTCCTGCCGGCTCGCCTGGGTCCCTCATGATGCCATCCGCCCTCTCCAGCTTCTGGACCCACATCTTGACCTCGCGCTCATACCGCTCCGCCGGAGACTCCTTCTTCTGCCCGTCGCGCTTCGCGGCGTTCCAGATCTGGTCGACGAGGGCGGCGGCGGAGGAGGAGACGGTGCCTGTCGCTTCGTGCGCGACTCGCTGGAGGTCGGCGAGCGAGAGAGGCGAGCCAGACTCGTCGGGTCGCGAAGCCTTGATGATGCGCGGCCAGCGTAGCTCGTAGTACTGCAGAGCATGGCGTTAGGACACTTTCAGAATGTCCAAGAGGAGCTGGTGGGAGGAGACGCACTGGACAGCCAGGAGTTCGTTGAAAGCCGGCGCCGTTAAGCTCCATCACGCGTGGCTGGCGGAAGATGACGGAAGGACGAGTCGTGTTCGAGTAGAGGTGATCGGCGAGGGAGAAGGTGAAGGAGCAGCACTGTCGCAGGAGACAGCGAAAGAGAGTAAGCTTCGCCCTTCGGCTGACAACGCGAACGCGGGACTCACGGCAGCGTCGTAGACTGCATACGGCCCAAGCGTCTTGCGGCGGTCGACACGCTTGAAGGCGCTTCCATCGGCGGACGACTCGAAATCGAATCGCTCGGGTCGATCTTCCCGCACCTCGAAGCAGACTTGCGCCAGCTGTTCCCTCGAGAGGCCGTACGAGGTTGAGAAGAGTATATGGTAGTGCGGCTTGCGCGAGGTCTGCGGGGGGGCAGTCAGGCTTTGAGCGGTGAAGCGACTCCTGATTAACTCACAGGTAAACTTGCTCCGAGATCATCCGCTCGGAAGCCGACAAAAAAGGTCGTGTAGACTGATGGTGGTACTGCAGAAGCGGACCTCAGCAAAGGCTGCGAGAGTGGAGGAAGGGCAACGCACCGAGTAGTTCCCTTCCACGCTTCCGCTGCCAAGATGCTCCGACGATAAGGACGTCCATCGTATCTCCCGCTCCTGGAATGAAGTCCTTTTTGAGTTTGACCCAGCGCTGCCCGCAGCGAAGGTCGTTGTAAGCTGAGAAAAGCGGCTTAAGCATGAGGCCCTCTGCAAGACGATCCCTCCGTCAGCACATGGTCGCCTGTAGCGCGCGAAAGACGGCGCACCGCATCGAGAGGCGATGATACGGGCGAAACGATCTCGCAAGCTAGCAAGAGCCGTCTCCTTGTGGTCGAAGTCGACGGAGACCGATTCCGCCAGTATGCTCTGCGTGTGGGCAATCAGCGTTGGTCCGCCGAACGTGCTCGTCGACAACTCACAAAGCCTTCAATCGGCAGGACGAGCGATTCGAGGCGGGCGCGGCGGGCTTGATACGGTTCTGGGGAAGAAAGCGGTCGTCAAGCCATGCTGGGGAACGTCGAAGGAACCGCACGCACCGTCAAGCAAGCTCTCTCCGTCCATGTAGAGAACGTCGAACCAGACAATCATGAGATGCAAGTTGCTGCCGACGAGTGCATCTCCCTCGCTCGCCGTCTGCGCCGCACTGGGCAACTGATGTTGCGCAGGCTTGTTCGGGCTCGGCGTCGCGCCTGTCGTGACGCTGTCGTCTTCTTGCGCAGCGCGTTGTCGAGTGTTCCACTTGGTGGAGCGCGCCTCGAGCGGTGCGCCGCCGCATGCCTTTGCAAAGGCCAATTTCCAGAACTCGTCGATCTGTCGGCGGCCTTCATGGTACGGGACCATCTCGCCTTCGATGACGAGTTTGGTAGGCGGAATTGGCGGTCGAGCTGAGGAGCTGGAGAGGGTGTGGAGAAGGCGCTGAGAGAGTTGCGGGTGAAGCGCTTGCGCGACGGGGTCGAGGGGTAGGCCGAGAGACGCTCGGATGATCCTGCGAGACCTTGTCAGCATTGCTGTGCCTGCGGCATGCGGGAAAGAGCGACTCACGGCAGAAGACTTCGTCGCGTCTCGGTGCTGTCGCGACTGCTCTTCGAGAAGATGCGTATCTGCTGAGACGGGGGAAGGGACAAGTCGATGTGGATCTGCAGTCTGTATGCGCCGCATGAGCGTGAATGTTGTAGTTGTGAGTGGACGACCGCTAGACGCACCGCTCGCCGTCATACTTCGTCTCGACCGCAACGAGTCCGTCTACATGCTTGGTCGCTCGGGCGCATGAGCTGGGCTTTTCCGTCTTGGGTACCTGCACGTTTTGAGCAAGTCAGCGCAACGATACACACGAGCTCGTGTCCACGCACCTTGATGGGCAGACCGAGCTGCGGCCGAGGTTGACATAAGGAGACACCACGACCTGTCAAGCTGTTGTTAGCTACGGTATGCAGTCTCTGTAAAGGCGCGTCACGTACGGATCGTTTGCTCGGCAGTCCAAGTCACCCAATCAAGATCGGCGACGGAGCGATACAACCTCGGCAGGCCTTCATGCCATACTTGCATAGCCTCGGCGAGACCGATGAAGCCGTACGACGTTAAGCAATAGCTGGACAGAACGATGTCGGCGGATGAGCTCGGAGGCGGGTAGAGCAGTGGCGCCAAGTCGCGGAGGATGATCTGTATCATGACGGCTGCGTCTGGTGGCGAAAGCGGGAGAAGAAGGTCGGAGAGGATAGCTTTTAGAGGTCGACGACGAGCTAGCCGCAGTGCTTGGACTGCGATTCCTGACCTTAGCCAGCGCTTCTCCGTGCGCGGTAGACTCGAGACGCACCGTCTGCCGCTGATGCGCTCGAAAGCGTCGCGAGCTCGTCAAGCAGCTCGTCCACCCTGTCGGAGAAGCACATGTCAGCCTGCTTGAGCGCTTCGAACCAACGTCGCAGCGTACCTGCCGAGTGTCAGTTCCTTCCCCTTGCCCTTCGCATGCTTTGCGTCCCTCTCCAGCCAAATCTGGACCTCTCTCCCAAGACAGCCTGTCGAGCTAGCTCTACCTGCCTCGCACTGGGCGTTCCAAGACGAGAAAGCACCCCTGCGCGCGCCATACACGCCCTCGAGCGCCTCCCCCAGCAGCATTTCCCGCAAGTCGTACCTGTCGCCCGAGGGTCAGCAATGGCTCGGCGGGAGCTGCGAGCAATACGCACCTCCGCCGCACGCCCTCGTCAGGAAAGAACAGCCGGAAGAACAAGACGATGGTCCCCTCAGGCAAGTCCCGATCGTATTCTGCCTTGACTGCCCCGACCCAAGCCTCAAGCAGCTTGTGCTGCTTCGGTTTCCCCTCTCCCGGTCCACTCAACCGCCTGGCACCCTTGCGCACGGCCGGCACGGCGCCTATCCGCTGAACGAGCGACGAGAACAGCGAGAAGGCGATGGGGTTCGCGTAGAGCGATGAGGGCGGAGGCGGCGCCGGCGCTGCCATGGTGGGCTCCTCCCAGCCGACGAACGAGAGTGTACGATAGCAAAAGCGCAGTAGAGTGGATGTGAGGAGAGGGAGAGGACCCAACTCGTCGAACCGTCGCGGCGCGCTCAAGTTGACTTTGAGAATTGACATCTCTCGCTCGAAAGCTGAGTCTGCAGTGACGAAGTTACAGGAACTGACTGCACGGGAACCAGGACAACCAATTCTACAGGCGGCGGGACAACAAAGACGAGGCGAGGCAAGGGTGGTGCCAATAAATAGACGGGGGCCAAGGGCGACAGCATGAAGCGATTTTGCGAGGCGTGCAGAAGGCGAAAGTCGAGAGTCTAGGGAATATCGAGCGAACGATACAATGTGTCGAAGCCGGGTATGCTGGAGGCTGCGCGGGGATCAGGCGGCGGCCTGCTCGAGCTGGGCTGCCTGAACGGCGTGTCGCGTAGGTCTGCGCAAGGACATCGTCAGTCAGCTGGCGCTAGTGATGGAAAAGCCAGAGAACGCACTGGAAGGGGTGAGGCGGCCACACATCCGAGTCTTCCTCGCCCTCAAGCAAGTCAAGCTCCTCATCGTCTTCCTCCTCCTCGAGCTGCCGGTCCCGCTCTTCCAACGCATTGCCGAGCGACCCTCGTCGCTGCGCAGCGGCGCACACTTCGCACATAGCCGTGCCGACGAGACATGCTCCGCCGCAAACACTTCGCTGCGCCTTCTCGACGGACGACGAGAGGATGCCTGTCGAGCTTGGGTCGTATCCACCTGTCTTTGGTGACGCATACAGCGATACCGAGTCGGCAGTCTGCGGACCGTTGACGACCGAGATGGACGAAAGTTGCGAGAACGAGGAGAAGGCAGTCGCGGCGCTTGATGGCGAGCCGGCAGAGTTGGCGAAGAGGGGCGAGAGAGGCGAGGTGGTGACCGAGGTACTCGAGGTGCTTGAGCTTTGTCGGACGTGCAGGGGTCGCTGGATAGCCGTGCGCAGGGGCGTCGGCCGACCGATGCGGCGGGTGTCGATAGACATCGGGACAGGCTTGCTGGCAGTCGCAGGCGCAACGACGGCGGGACTCGGGTTGCCGATAGGCGTGGCAGTCGGATCAGACGCCTGGGAGGCCGGCGTCGCGGACCGAGGCGAAGGAGGAACAGAGCCAGATGCCGATGCCGGCGCCGAGCCTGAGCTCTCGCTCGTCTTCTTCCGCCGAAGGGGAGGCGCCGCCGGCAGAGTGAAGTCGCGCGCGATTGGCTGGGCGAACGCCTCGTCCGTCTGAAGCGAGATCGCCTCCCACGCCGCTCGCCCATCCCGCAGCTTCTCGACAAAATCGGCGAACTCTGCGTGCGTTCAGTGAAGCGTCAGGGTGAACTCGAACGGAGGCAGAACAAAGCACTGACCGTCGACGACCGTCGACATCGCCCCGAAAAGCGGCTTGCAGAACAAGTCGATGAAGCCGACTTGGCCCTTCGCCTGCGCCTTGACGTCGCTCGGGTCCTGCGTCATGACCGTGATCGGCAGGCCGAAGTCGGCCTCGATGCTCGCCTGGACAGCCCACTCTTCCTGCAACGCCTGCGCCCAGACGCGAGAGATGCGGTGTGGTCGAGTCTGATTCGGCGAACGCACAGTCAGCGGCGGCACAACGATAGAAGTCCGAGAGACGGAGCGCACCGGGTTACTGATGTCGGCGCACTTGATCAAGCCCGCGCACAGCAGCAGCTTATCCGCCTCGAGGTCCCCACTCGCCCTCCGCCCATTCGCGCTCAACCGCTTCCCCATCTCCGTCAACTCGGTGACGAACGCAAAGTGCCGGCTCATATCGGTCGCGAGGATGGACGCCTCAAGGATCTTGCGGAACGGGGTTGCGCGCTCGCCGAGATGTCCAAAGTCGCCGCCGAGGAGGTACTCGAAGTTGTGCCGCCGGAGCATGTGGATGAGCGTGACGGTGTGGAAGTTCTCGAGGATGGACTTGTCGTTGTAGATCTGCGCCACCGGAGCGCGGGCGTTGACCTGCGAATAGGGACGGTTAGCTTGACGAGTGGCCGCGCAAGAACAGCCAACTCACCATGTAGGCGTTCGTCAACCCTGGATGACCGACATCGTGGCCAATACACGCAACCATGAGCGCAAAGACGTCCATCGGTCTCAGCAGCTCCCCCATTCCTCCCTCCTCGACCGCACGATTTCGCCTCCACTTCCGCCGTCCCTCGCCAAGGTTCGCGTCGTAGTCGTCTTCGCAGAGGAGGTAGAGCGGTGGCGCGAGACCCATGCGGACGAGGAAGGAGTAGCAGGCTTGGGTCACGTCGGCGGCGTGGTTGAAGTTGTGGTAGCCGTTTCGGGAGTGGTAGGCGGAGCGGATGGAGAGAAGCAGCGCCTTGAAGCGTTCTGTGACGAAGGGATGGATCAGCTGCGGTCGGAGATAAAGATGAGAGACCTGCGCACCCAGGTCAAAGTCGACACCCTCCATATTCCGCACGCTCTCGAAGATGATGCCGACGCAGGCGAGCAGCTCGTCAGGCGAGTACGACATGGCGTTGAAGGACCAGCTCTGCAAGTTGGCGATGAGCTTGAAGCGCTTCGCCTCCGAAAGGGCCGGAAACGGCGATGACGCCGGCCGACTTTCGAGCCGTTGCGACGGTTCGTTCGAGGCGGAAGACGTGGGCGCGTCGTGAGGGAAGCCTGGCGGGATGGTGCCGGCGTTGTTGTAGGTGACGGATTCGGCCGAGACGGAGGTATTCCGTGAAGGAGTGGGCGAGCTGATGGGAGAGGCAGGGATGGCTTCGAGCGTGGCGTGCGGTAGGACTTCGGCTGTTGATTCGGGAATGCCGGCTGAGGCGCCCTCTGCGTTCTTTGGCTCGGCGCAGAGCGAGAGCGAGTGGGCGAGCAACGAGGCGAGATGCCGGCCGAGTCTGCAGGAGGCACAGCGTTAGCTTGCGTTTCGAGAGAGAAGCGGTAATCGTACGCACAGCCGGTCGTTCGCCCCCTTGGCGCCCGCTCCAACAACGCCAGTCGCCTTGTCTCCCGCATCCGGACCGACCGCATCCCGCATTCTCCGGCTCATCGCGGTCATGCCGTGTACTCTGCGCGTACCGACGCCCAGTACACCAACGTCGACGCTGCGCCGCCGAGGGAATTCGGGCGCAACCCTGAGCAGGCCGTTCGAGGGGCTCGCAGAGGCCATGAAGCCGGAGAAGAACGGTGGTGCGTGCGCCGCGCCGGCCGCTGGTGACCGCAACGGCGAGGGTGTCCCCTGCAAGGATGCTCGACGCGACGCAGACTGCTTGGGCGACTCTCCTCCCGACGCGCTGCGAGGCTGCGACGACGACCTCGCAGAACTCGGGCGGTGTGCGGCGGGCGAGCCGGGCGTGCTGGGTCTCCGGCCTTGGACGACGGTGACGGTACTCGGCGCGATAGACGGGCGCTTCTGCGACGAGGCGAACGGCGAGACAAAGGTGATCCCGCCTGCTCCGCCCAGACTTCCTGAGGCGGGCCCGCTCGAACCAGGGCTCGTGCCGCCCCCGCCAGACCCTCCGCTCGTCGTGCTAGCCGGCGACAGTGGCACAGAGACGTCTACCGAGCCGGGAGTCGCTGCCCGCGCGAGCGAGCTGCGGCGGACGCTCGACTCGAGAGGGAACGAAGTCGAGGTCGGATTGATCGCAGGCGACGAGACGACGGGGGGGCCGCCTGGGGTGGCGAATGGGTTGTTGAAGAAGGCCATGATAGCTCTGCAGTACTCGCAGACCCCACGGCGCTGAGGAGACGACGAGCGGGCGTGTCGAGATGAGGGGGGCTTGACGGGGAGATGTCGGGCCTCGCGCGGCCGTTCGAGCTGCGTCCCGTGGCTGTGGCAGTCGAGTGCAGTCCCAGCAGCAAGCGTGTCGAGCTCGGCCTGCGCCTGCTGCCTGTGCTGGCGAGGAGGCGAGGACAAAGGTCGCGAGGAGGCGAGAACGTCTCTCTTGCACCCGCTCCGACGGCTCGCTCTGCTTCCCCAGCTTCGTGCGGCGCAGTCTGGACGCTGATGGGACTCTACCGCGCTTGCCGTTCTCCATACCCGCCCCACTTGACTTGCGGTGCAGCGAGACGTCCTCCTCGCCCGCAACTCCTCCTCTCCCCGTCGACCGGTCCAGCGCCAAAGCATACACGCGTTTGTATTGCTCGCAGAGGTCGAATAGGCGCAGGCTAATCTCGGCAGGCGGGCCCTGCCACTCTTTCCTGGGAACCGGTGAGGCTTGCCGCGATGGGGATGGCTTGCAAAAAGTGTCTCGCGGCCACGCAGCGATCCGGCTGCCACGCGGGAAGCTCGTTTTCTGTGCTTCGAGAACACCGCGGTCGGGCGCCGTCGACCTCCTTCTCCTCCTCCTCGTTTGCCACGTTCGTCCCGCTTTGGCCGGCCTGGATTTTGCGCTCTTCCTCGAGGTTGGGCATTCCAGAAGTGCTGTCTGACCCGGCACATCGGCGAACCGCAGCACAAGCACCGGCAGCGACTCGTCCGGCCTCGCGACTCTCCCCGCGAAATCGTCTCCTCCGCTTGCTCTCTCCGCTCATTCCCTCGGCACGCTGGGCCAATCTCGCTGTACGAAACCAACCGTCCCGGCAAGCGTGCTCCAGGAAAGCCAACCCTTGGAACGATGGCGTCTCCCGTTTCCCAGGCTTGGGTCCAGCCTCGCGTACGAGGAGACGGCGACAGGCAGGCTCCGTCCGGTTCGCTCCACCGGGGCGTGTAAATTGCTCACGCTATCGCGACACGCCTCAGCGAAGAGTGCCGATACACTTGATGCCTTGCGAGAGAGATGTTCACTACATAGCAGCCTTCGGCAACTCCCTCTCCAGGCGGAACAGCTGTTCGCCCGCTTGCTTGATCGTCGTCCGCAAGTCAGTGAACTCGATGCCGAGCTCCTTGACGGCGCTGCGCAAGTGAAGCGGGTCAGGAAGGGAGGAAGCGATGTGGGAAGAAGGCTGAACGTACGGAGTGCAGTCGTAGCTCCAGTGAGGACCGACGGGGTCGCCCTTGGTCGGAATGCGGTGCGCTTGCTCGGGAAAGTCCTCCTGCGCAGTGAGAAAGCGGGTGAGCGGGTTCTACGGCTCTCGGCGAGAGAGCAAGGGGTCCACGGAAAGCTGAGGCCTGCAGACTCACGCGAAGGTACTGCGCGATGCTGCCAAGCGTTCAGAGCGTCAGAGCGGTCGGCCAGAGGAGCAGGCGAGACAACACGCACAGGCAGTTGTCGTTGTCGCCGCCGATGAGGAGGTAGCGGTTCGTTCGAGCACGCTCGATAGCCTCGACATGTGCTCTCGCGCAGTCGTTGACGTTAACGAAGACCTGCAGGAGAAGCTGTGAGCGGCGGGAAAGCGTTTAGGGGAGAGATTGAAGAACATACGGGAACGGCCGTAGGCGGGATCTCCTCAGCGTCAATGATGCTCTTGACAACGGCAGCCGACAAGTTCAAGTCCGAGAGGGACGAGAGAGGCTGCAGTGCCTCGCCGAGGATGATGGGCGGGACGATCGTTGCGAGCGAAAAGTTGGGCTTCTCGCGCTCGAAGAAATCCCACGCGGCACGTTCGGCGAACGTCTTGCTGGCCACTGTGCGAGGACGATATCATCAGTACGTCGAGATCGTCCCAATGTGACGCAGTTCACGCACAGTACACCCTGCAAGCCAGGCGAGGTCAGCGGAAGGTTCGTCTCAAAGGTAGACGGAAAGGCACGCACATCGCAGGAATCGTCTCCTTCGCCGCCTGCTCCCACGTGAAGGGAGACCAGACAGCGCTGGTACGGACGAAGCCGGGATCAAGTCCCTTTGCCGGATCTTGCGCAGCCGCGAGGGAGGACGTTATGACAACGCTCTTGACGCTCGGCTCGCGCTTCGCCGCCTCGAGGATTGACGTCGTACCCTTCAGCGCCGGCTCGAGCATGTCCTTGACGTTGTCCTTGAAGGAGAAGGTGAAGGGCGAAGCTGTGTGAGCGACAGCGTCGACGCCCTTGATCGCCTCATCAAAGGCGCCATCGTCGGCAAGGTCGCGGACAATGACGAAGTGGATCTGGTCGCGGTATTGTGGATCTGTATGCACGAAGGATGAGGAGACCTGGGTGGATGAAGGCGGATCCTGAGACGCACACTTCTCAAGCCATGCGTCTGCCTGCTCTTGACGGCGGACGGTTCCGCGGACTGCGCAATGATACGTCAGCTCATTCGTCCAAACTGAAGCGGAGACGTTTGCAGCGCACCTTTCCAGCCCTTCTTAAGAAACTCGAGCGTTGTCGCCGTTCCGAGGAAGCCAGACACGCCGGAAATGAGCACGATGCGAGGGGTGATGGCGGTCGGCATATCAGCAGCGCTCAGTTGAGTGTGTGTGGTAGAGCAAGAAGCGGAAAGCGGCGCCAGGAAGCAAGAAGGGAGCCCCACAGCTGCTCCTTCTCCCGAAGGTCCGGAAGGCGAGTGCCGGAGAGGTCGGGACGACAGCTTCGTGTGGCTCGCCGCACTGCATGCAGGAGATGCCTAAGCGCCCGTCTGAGTCAGCCGAACGGCTCCGTCGCCCGCGCTTCGCCCTCGGACCCGTCTGGGTAATGAGAATTGACAAAGTGGGCTGTAGCGGTGGTGGACGCAGCTGGACGGCGACAAGCTCCAAGACGCCACACACTGGGGTCTCAGAAGATTGTCGCAAGCACGCAAAGCCAGCCTCGTGCTGTTCAGTCGGTGTTCGTCGAGGGGGAAAGAGCGAAGCGATGAAGTTGGCCTCCTCGACGACGACGGTCCGACAGCTCGTGACTGTTCTGCTACGGGACGAGGCTACCATGGACGGGCAGGACGCCTACTGGCAGTACCAGCAGCCGCCGCAGTCAGCCGCCCCTCTCCACTTCTCCTCCCCGCAAACAACCGCCTACAGCTCTTCTCGGTCACCGCCGAATGGAGCTGTCCCGGCAGTCTATCCAGGCAACGGTCTCGAGCAGCCCTACGCATCCACGTCGGCATACGTCTTCAGCGCCGACCCTCAGCCTCCCCCTCCTTCCTCCTTGCCGACTCCTCAGGTCCCGACGTACGCCTTTCTCGGACAGTACGACGGCGTAACCGACTATACGCAACACCCCGGCTATGTCTATGCCTCTCAGCCGCACGGTGTCGCTCAGCAGGAGGACTTTGCGACCGCGACGGTTATGAACGGCGAAGCTCAGAACGGTGAGGGCACCTACGGGGAGAAGCTGAGTAACGCGCGAATGAGCAAGAAGCCGAAGCCTCGTCCACCGCCGCCGCAAGGCGCCATCGTGACGGACAAGTCGTGTGCGCGATGTCGAGTTCGGAAAGGTGCGGTCCTCCCCCTTCGTGCGCATGTCCTGAGCTCACGCCTGTTTGTACAGTCCGCTGTAACCGCATCTTTCCGCGCTGCGACCATTGCACGGCAAGGGACGAGGACTGCGACCTCAAAGACTGGAAACCACGACCAAAATACAAGCCCAACGATCCTGCGCGGGTTGCGGAGCTGGAAAAGCGTCTCGGTGCGCAGTCTTTATCTCATTCTACGTGCATGTATAGGCTGACAAGCCTGTCATACAGCCGAACTCGAAGAACAGCTCGCGCAGTCAAGCGACAAGCCTCAGTCCGGCCAGATCGACGTTTCCGCCGCCAACCTCGACCTCCCTTCCGACTTCTCCTCGTTCAAACCGATCTCTTCGCTCTCTTCCGCCGCCGCTACCTCCTCAGAAACAAGAGACGCCCTCGCCTCGCTCATCGCCGGCGGTAGCAGCATCGGCCAGCAATCGCTCGACTGGCGCCTTGCAGAACCGCAAATGATGTCGAGCCTGTCTCGTCATCTCTGCTTGGCATTTTGGGAGAGCTGTTGCTTCCTCCTACCGACGTACGAGTTCTGGAAGACTCGGACGGACGATCTGCTCGCGCACGATCACGAGAAGCTCAGTCCAGCTTTGCGAGTGCGTAGTCGTTACCTGCACTTGTTGTCACTCTAGCTGACGCGTTCCTCTCCAGGTCGCCTTGACCTCCTTCTGGACAGTCGGCGCCCGCACTTCACCTCATTCCGCCGTCCTCGGTATCGCGATCCGCCCCGAAGATCCCGTCGACCATCCCAACGCACCGCTACTCAACGCAGGAAATCGACGGCAGACAGCATGCACAGCGCTTTTCGACAAGGCGCACGCGCTCAATTGGGAAGCGGGGACGATGGAGACGCCGACGGTCGAGGCGCTCGCTGCTTTGCTCGCCGTTCTGCAGATGTCGTTATGTGCGCGGCGCCGTATCTTTCCGGCGCTCAAATCGCCTGCTGACGTGTCCTGATCGCACAGTCACCGAAGTGCAGCCGATGAAGACGCGCCCACTCCTCCGCTCAGCCGTCTCGCACTACAAGGACTTGCAAGACGCTGCATCAAACGAAGCAGAAGCTGCGTGGATTCGCAAGACATTCGGTTTCGCTATCTACGTAAGCCGCCTCACTCCCCCGTCTCCTCGCCGCCTGCTAACCGACGTCGAATGTCGAATCGCACAGACCGCCGACTGCCTCATCTCCGCCTACGCTCGACGCAAGTGCCACATCGCTGATAGCGACCTCCCGACGTACTTTGCGCACGCCGACACCAAGATCATCCTGCCGCGACTACCGATGGACAGCCTGCTTCCGATCGCGCAAAAGCTCGTCAAGGCAATTTCGTCGAGGGAGTCGGCCTTGAAGAGCGCAAAGCATCTGCTCGCTTGCTGGGTCTGCGCTTGCCAGCGCGCCTTCGTCCAGTTCGCTGCTCGTGAGTCTACCGAGTTCTGACAGACCTGGGTGGAGCTGATGAGAAGTCTCCGCCTCATAGCGACAGGTTCTGCTCGCAAGACGGCCGAAGACTTGACAGGCGGATTGCTGCAACTCTGGAGTGTGCGTCACTCTGTCTGCTCAGGCAGAAGCCGGCTTTCTGACATCGCTTGCGCAGGCTATCGACTCGACGCGCTCCGCAGCCGCCTATCTCCTCGAGCTTTCTCCACCGACGCTCCACAATCACGTCCCCAATCCTTCCGAGCCGCAACACACAGTCCACGAGCACGACTACGGCGCCCAGTTCATTCGGCTCGACCGCGACCTTCTCGACCTGATTAACCTCATTCACGTCGAGGTCGAGGCGAGGCAGGCGATACTTCCGCCACAACTGCGAGCAGAGAGTCTGAGCAGGGTGCGGAAGGCGTTGCGAAGGCGGTCGTTTTACCTTCACACGTATGTTGTCGGAGCGGATGTGCACAGTACGTCCTCCCTCGCTGCTTACCTCCCTTCAATGGGCTGAGTTTATCCATCTTTGCAGTGGCGTTTCACGAGGTCTACCAACTCGAGCACCTGCCGAACTGGACGAAGCTGGCGTTGCAGCGAGTCGGCGAGCCTGGCGGACCAGTGACGGCGGACGAGCAGGTCACAGAAACGGAGCTGAGCTGGTCCGTTCGAGCCAGTCACCGCTGACGAGATTCCGAGCTGACAGTCGACATGCGCAGGTTCATCGAGGGCTTGCAACACGCCTGTTACTTCCACCCTCTCTCCGAACAACGGCTTGTCGAACTCGCACCTTGCTTCGGCCCTCTCGACGCCAAGGTGGACCTCTCGCCGCGCTTCACGCAGCTCGATCTGTCGGGCGGACAGTCGCAGAAGGCCCAGGAGCAGCAAACCCAATCCGACCCCACCATCCCGCTGCGCGTACCCGCCGACCCGCTCCTCTCGCCCTCGCAAGCGGAGTACTCCTCCCCTTCGTTCGCCTCCAGCGCCCTCTTCGGCACTTCCACGCCCGTTCTCGCACCCTCCACCTCCCTCCCCTCTTTCGCCACAACCTCCTCACCCGCCTCCGCCGCGCCCACCTCTCTCCCGATCAACTTCGACCGATGGAGTCCGCTCAGCTTTGGAGATACGGGTCTCGGAGGATTACCAACGTTTGAGGAGATCGACGGGGCGTTCGGTTGGAGTGGAGGACTTGAAGGCGGCGTGGGTTTGTAGGTGTCGATTGATATCGAGGAAAACGGATCGTCCTCGGTGTGCGCTTGACTTCCGAGCGGACCCATGCGTCCCGGCCACCGTTCGGGCGAGTAGATAGGGAAAAGCTGGATCGAGCGATACAGGCGTCGAGTTTTGCGCCAGAGCAGCGTCTATGCGACAGAAGTGACAACAAGGGGATCTATCCACGGAATGACGAGGTGCGAGGGTGCGACGTGCGAGGAAAGGCTAACGAGAGGAAGAACGTCTACTGCTGCAATCCTCTCAACCACTCATCGACGTTTGCCAGCCCAGGCGTCCCAGCCTTCCCTCCTGCGCCCGAAGCCTGTCCGTTCCCGTTCACCTGCGCCGCTCCTCCTGCGCCCGGAGTCGGCCACATCCCGGCATACGAAGCCTGCGGCGTCGAAGGCGTCAAGCCCGAATGGAAGTTCGCCCCTCCCGCTCCGAACGGAGAGTTGACGTCTCCTTGCGGTGCGTGTGCGAAAGGGAGTGAGAAAGTCGGGTCGTTTGAGGCGCGGGCGTAGGAGATCGCTGGGGAGAACCCTGCTGAGGGTGGGTGGGAGGGCGAGAGGGCGGAGGTTATGATGGGCGGGGGGAGCTCGAATGAGAGGTGAGGCTTCTTGAGCTGGTACGCCGGCATGCGGGGCTTTTGAGGAGGAGGGAGAGGTTGGGGAGGAGTGGCGGAGGAGTGCTGGGAGGAAGAAGGTGGATAGGGCTGGTATTGCGGAGTCGGGTATGAATGCGGTGCCGCGGGGTACTGAGTGGCGTATTGTTGCGAGGGGTAGCCATAGGGCGTGGATTGCGGGCTGCCCGAGTACGACTGCGAAGGACCGCCCTGTCCTCCCGCACCTTGCGCATACCACGCCGCATTCGTCGGCACAAAATAGTACCCGGGCGGAAGCGGCGCATGCTGCTGCGGAAGCGGAAGGACGCGCGACGTTGAAGCAAGAGGAGGTTGTCCCCCGCCCGTCCAGGGGTCGTACGTCGCAGCGGTCAGACCCGATGCGTGAGCGGTCGTCGCAGGAGGAGAGTAGGCAAAGATCGATTCGTCTTCGCCTGAGGAATAGGAGAGAGGCGGTGTGGGCGTGTAGGCGAGAGGAGGGAGGGCGGTTGGGAGGTAGGGCGAGCCTCCTAGACTTGGGTCATACATCTGAGAGGGTGTCGATAGGGTCGTAGCGGATGGCATGGGTGGTACTGTCGAAGCAGAAAAGGTCAGGAAGCGAGAGACGAGCTGAAATGAGCGTCGCACGCACGAGTGGCATTTGCGGGCAGTTCCGTCAGCGACCCTCCCGCCGCCAATGCCGCATCAAGCGACGCCTGGAATCCCGACATGCCCCACCCATCATCACCCGGTCGCGCCGTGCCCGACGACGAGATGGTCGAGTTGCCAGGCGAACTCGCGACGGCCTTTCCCTTCCCCTTCTTCCCTTCCGCTCCACCGCCAACTTTCGTGTCGTACTGGCACACGACGGTACTCAGATCCTTTCCCTCGAACCGTGCGGTGCGTAGACATGCGCGACAAGCTGTTGCGAGTGTGCCAAGCGGTGAGTGGAAGGGGTCTTCCTGCGAGACGGAAGGCAAGCGACGACGAACCTGGTCTTCCTGCGTCGCAGCGGACCTGTGTAGCGCGAGAATGAGCAAGCGAGAACTAAACCCGTTGGGAGAGAAGCGCGACGGACCTTGCGTGCGCGGCAGACGGAGCAACTCTGTCCTTTAGGCAGACTGCGGACGAAGGCAACTTGGTCAGCTCGCTTCTGCGGCAGGATTCGCCAGGGCAGTTGCACGCACGGGTTCTTCTGCACGATAGACTTGCCCTTGGTGCTGCTCTTGCGCGGTTTGGCGACGGTCGTGCCAGTCATCGCTGGAGGTGGGCAGCTCGCTCGGAGACAGGAGGGGGAGAGAAGCGTGCGTGGGCGCTGGCTGGGTCGTCCTTGTGCGCCTTGGGCGTGCTCAGCGAGTCGACAGTACTGTACAAGCGCGGTCTGGCGTGGCAGCGAGTCCTGCGAAGCGGGTGGCAGCACGCCAACGGCGGTTCTCGTCGGAGAGCTGGGCAGCAAGGAGCGACCAATTCTTGGACGCACGCCCGCACCGGCGCGGCGCGTGGCTGCCGAGTCGCATTTAGCATCCGAGCGTCATCTCGGAACACACCCCTTTCTTGCCTTTGTCTCGTGTGTCGATCCGTCCTCTTGCACGCGAAATCCCCCACTTCGCCGCTTGTTCTCTCAACGACAGGCTGAGTTTCATGCAGAAAAGAACAGGAGTGCATGCTGGGCGGCTCCGCATCAGCTCCAGCAAGCGGTGTGAGCGTGGAGATTTGGTGCAGAGCTTGGCGGCCTTCTCAGCCCACATCCACATCCTCCAAGCTCGCTCGCTCTCCTCGAGTGCGACAGCGAGGAACGCAGAGAAGCGTTCGCAGAAACAGCGCACCTTCGTCAGCGCTTCATCCGGGTCCGGCGCGGTACCCTTACTTGGATGCTGGTTATTTCTGTACGCCAGTGCTCAAATTGGGTTGGAGGATTGGTAAGCGAGTGAGACGCTGGCGGACGCACGGCGGGACGAGGACGGACTGTCGTTCGCAGCAGGAGAAGAGGGTTTCGACGCCTAGACGGAACGGGACGGACGAGCAGCTTTGCTTGGTTGCCCAGTCTCGATGGTCGAAGTCAGCCCTTGACCGCGCTGTATCATGGCAAGGGGTTCCGCTCAGCCAATGGCGTCGCTGGAGCGAGAAGCGAGTGAGTGCGGTGAAGGCAGAGGTAACTTAGGCGGGCGAGAGCAGCCGAGTTTGTCCGGAGCTGGACAGGCTGGACGCGGGGCGGACGGAAGCGACGACGCAATCAGCAACCTTGCGCGCAAAGCAGCATCGCGCACTTCGGCCAGAGTCGGTCAGGGAGCAAACATCGGGCGAGGCTAAACGACGAGGAGCGCACCTCGGCATCCTGTGGTCTCCCTGCAGTGCATCGTCTGTGCCGCCGTGTGCTGCCAGACGACGATCCAGCCAGCCGCAGCGTGCGAAGGAACACGGCCAGGGCGAGACTGCGCTCTGAGAATGGCGAGGGCAACAGCGCCGACGCAGACGACGACGGCAGAGGCTGGGGGCAAGCCAGGCGTCGAGTCGTTCTCGTACGTCGAGCCTGCAGCGCTCCGCTTCGTCGTCGACCTCCCCATCGCTCCTGCGACACCCACACAGGGCCCCGCTGCCCTCCCCAGTGACGACGGCCCTTCGACGTCGACGGGCAGCTCACACGCCAGCGCTGGACAGTCTGCGGGCACGCCTGCTGCCATGCCACCACAGTCTGGGATCCACGGACTTGCGCCAGCACCCGCCCACGCGTCCAAACCGCCTCACTCGACCTACTCCTCGACGCCGACCCTCGCCTCGACAACTTCGCCAGACGCGACTGACGGGCTCGCGCGGACCAACAGCAAGGGCAGGAGGAGGCTCTCGGTCAGCCTGACCAACCTGCTCCACCCGGGAAAGAAGGACAGGCGCAGGACGGACGACTCGTCTTCGATGGCAGGCAGCTTGACGCCCGGGTCGGTCTCTTCGCGCACGCTCGACGGGCGGGCGAGCATGCAGAGCTCGAGGGCTGTGTCTGTCGCGTCGCCCACGGCCTCGCGCAGGACCAGCATCGACGAGCACGCTTTCCCGGCGGCGGCGGACCCTCCTCGCTCACGGCGGTCACCCGACCTCGTCGACTCGCAGCTTCGACAGCAGGACACGGCCGTGCGGGACAGGTGGGGCTTGCTGGACGAGGGACGGGCAGCGAGCAACAGCAGCCAGGGGTCGCTCGACGCCGCGGCGACTAACTCGAACGCCTCGACTGCGCCAACCTCGCCGGACGTCCTCGCCTCGCAGGACTGCGACGAGGACGACTTTGTCTCGCCCGCCGAACGGAGGAGACGTGGCTCGCTTGCACTGGCGAAGCAGCTCAGCCAGGATGGCCGAGACGACGAGACCGAAGGTGCGATTCCAACTCGCTCTTCCTGCGCCGGACAGCAACGCTCATCAGGCTCGCATCGCGCAGACTTGACCGACTTCCTGCGCGCTTCGGGATCTCCATCCACGTCACCTGTACCGTACAGTGCGTCTCGAGCGAGGGGAGGAAGACTGAGCAGCCCACTCACGTGTGCTTCTCGCAGGCGGACCCTTCGTCCGACGACCTTCCGGCGCTTCTTCTCCGACTCCGCCTTCCCTCGCAGCATTCCCACCTCCTTCGTCGTCTACGACGGCTACTACATCCGGCACCGCTTCACCCCCGCTTCACCCTCGCCGCTTGACCCGCAACATCGAAGGTCTCTCCCTCAGCGACCTCCGCCGCAGTCCTCCTCCCGCGACGCCGCCTCCCATGCTTCCTTCTGTCGCTGCTTCGCCCTTTACCGTCACGGCGGTCCCTCAACCCGAACCGCGGCCTTCTCGCGCTTCGTCGTCCGGCCGCGCACAACTCGGTGCGATGCCTCGCCTCCTTTCGACCAACGCCATCGCGACAATCGGCTCGCTCGAAGACGAGCAAGAAGACTCCGAATCTGGCTCAGACAGCGGAGACGGGTCGGACGAGGACGACGAAGGCGAGACGTACGAGACGAGCGACGAAGGACCTGTCACGACTCGCAGCCCGCTCGCTACGCCCGCTACCTCTCCTCCTCTCGCATCGTCGTCGTCTTCTCAACCTCGCGCGCCTGGATTCCGACCCTCGCTCTCGACCAACCCTTCGCTTCGTAACTCGCGCCTCCCCAGTCTCACTCACCTCGCGACAGCCGGTGCTTCCGCGTCGAATCAGTCGAGCTGGGTCTCGTTCGGCACGGCAACTCCAACGCCCAGTACCGTCCGCGGTCTCCGTGCAGCAGGACCGACCAACGGTCCTTCGTACTTTGACCTCCCGCGCCCTTCGTCTTCCAGCACAGCCAAGACCCCGCTCGTACCGCCCCAGACTCCACTCATGCCGATGAGTATCTCGGAGATTGCGCGAGGGAAGAGGCCGGCGTTGCAGGAGGATGTTGAGGCTGCTCAAGCGGGTCCTTCGACGTCCGAGGCGAGCGACCGAGCTGCGACAGGCCACGATGGAGGCGTTCGAGGAGGGCTGTACAGGCTGAGGAGCCAGAGTGTCGTCCACCTCGCGAGTCCGAGTATGGTCGACGAGGAGGACCAGCCGGTTGGGACGGCTGCTTTGACGGAACTCGACCCGGTTTGGAGGGTCGGCGCACCGGCGAAACAGCGCACGCCTGCTCCGTCGTTCCTCAGCTTCAACCTTAACCAGCAACCGCCTCAGTCGCCGACTACTTCCGTCGTCCAGGATGCGGTCACGCCTACGCCTAAAACTCCCGCGCCGCTCGATACCTCTGTTCGTCCCGCGCCGACTACTCCCGCTTCTCCTACCTCCATCCTCGCCGATTCGCCGACTGCAGCACGATCGCGACCTGCGACGGGCACGCCTGGCGGCCACCGTCTCCACCGTACTCGGTCCATGTACGAGCTGCGCGACGCCCCTCCGCCCTACAACGCCGTCTACCGCAAAGCGGGTCTCGGCGCACCTCAGATCGTCCACCCACGCGAGGAAGAAGGTCGCGAGGGCTTGCCGCCGTACACCTGCGCGATCCACATCGAGGGCTACATGCCTCGCAAGATGGAGTTCACTGCGCCGGGCGTACAGGCGCGCGACCGAGCGTGGAAGAGGCAGTATTTCGTGTTGCACGGGACGTCGATCAAGATCTACAAGTACGACTTGCGGACGCACCCGATTCCGGGCGAGCAGGACTGGTCGACTGTGCCGGTCGACATTGCAGGCCACGACGGGCCTCCGCCGCTGCACTTCCACGAAGGCGAGTACGGCGTCGGCAAGGAGCAGGCGGCGACTCACAAGTTCCCGCTGTCGATCACGGACGCAAAAGCGAAGGCCAAGGACCGCATCATCACGAGCGCGACGGCGTCGGCGCAGAACTCGCTTGTCCGGCACTATTCGCTGCAGAACGCAGAGTCGGGCCTCGCAGCCGACTACGTCAAGCGTAAGCATGTTGTGCGTGTCCGGGCCGAGGGCGAGCAGTTCCTCCTCCAGGCCAAGGACGACCGGGGCGTGATTGACCTCATCGAGGTGCGTTGCAGTCTTACTGTGTCTGAGAACCACACTTTGCTGACGCTGGACTCTCGTGCAGGCCCTTCAAGCCGCCACGAACGTCGCGCTCGACCTCGACGCCCGCCCGTTGCCCAAGTTCATCACGCTGCCACGCCGCCGCCGTCGCCGCCGTCCTCGTCCTGACGCTGATGCCGCTACTGCACCTGCTACGACCGGTGCGACAACCGAAAATGCGGCTGCCGCTGAAGGAGCGACCGAGACGGACCGGATGGGAGATATGCTTGCGGAGGAACAGGTGCGCTTGTTCGATTTCCTGCCCTCCGTATCGGCTTGCTGACCGCGTCTCGTACCGCAGAACTCGTATGCGCGCCGCTCGAGCGGCACAGTGATGTAACTTCGAGCACTCGACCTCGCCCACGCTTTTCCTTGTATCCTCTTGCTCCACGGCCCTCTTCGTTCTCCGACCAATGTTGTCGAACCCTTTATATCGTTCCTTTTGCCCTCAGTATCTCGCCTGGCCTCGCCTCACGAACGTCTTCTACTCGCATGGTACCGCAAGATAAGGTATTCTCGCTCAATGCATTGCACCAACATCCGTCCGTGATGCCGTGTAGTTCTCGAGAGTCACTGATAGTACACGATGACGACCTGGAACAGCGCTCGTCAGTCCCGCCGATAGGACGAGGGCTGAGGAGAGAAGCATGCGGACCTGGTCATCTGGCTTCGACGCCTCGTCTCATCCGCCAACTACTTCTCGTCTCCGCTTTTCCTTCTCGCTCACTGCCCGCTTCCGCCGACTCCACTCCTCCATGCTGAGCATATCACCTCCGTCTCCCTCTTCCTCAAAGTCATCCTCGACTTCCTCTTCCTCCGAGTCGTCTTCGGCCATCTGCGAGTCCTCTATTGCTGCCGCAGCGAAAAGGATTGACCAGATCGACTTGTGCTTGACGCCGGCGGGCAGCGCGAGGCGGCCTTCGTCTGTCGAAAGAGTCGAGGACACTTGCTTGTGCGCCTTGTCCGCGTGCACTCGTAGCTTCTCCTTCTTCCGCCGCTCCGTCTTCAATCCGTCGTGGTTGAGCGGGACTGGATGCTGGAGTAGCTCAATGTCACCTCTTGGAACGAGGTGAGGAGAGGAAGTCGAGGCGAGGGTAGGGGTCGTCGCGGTGAGCAGGAGGAGTAGGGATGAGAGGATGGCGAGCATTGTGCCCGGCGTGGCAGGGCGATGAAGAGGAGGTGGGAATAGCAGAGCGTGAGGAGTTGGCGGTCGAAACGGCGACGGGATCTTGAGAAGGCCAAGGCCGGGAGGAGGGGGAGAAGCGGCCGTCTTCGCTGGTGTGCTGTACTCTCGAGTATGCTGTACAAGAGTTAGGTTGACGGAGTACAGACAGCGGACAGCGCCAGCGTGCGAACGACCAAAGTCGAGTGATCGACGAGTCGCGGGAGGCGACCTCGTCCCGAGTCCTTCCAGGATTCCGCAGGACGCGTCTGCGGGCGGCTCGCAGATTCCTCGCCAAGTTTGGCTCCCTAGGAAGCAGGAATAGCCCTGCAATGAGAGAGGATCGCGAAGTGATTGCGAGGCGCAGGTGAAGCCGAACTCTCAACGACCTGACTTGCGCGCCGCGACGATGGAGGTCTTGCATGATGCGGCGACAATGCGGAGGGTGATACTACGGGCATCTGTACCACATGCCAAACCTCGTCAATCCGCGAGAGAACCTCGAAAGAACGAAAGCGGGCGGACGCACTGCGATAAATATGTACTCGGTCTCCACCGTCTAGTTTCCCGCATACTCCGCCGGGAAGCGCATGCCAAAGTCGCGCTCAAGGACCCGCCTCATTGGCCCAACTCGCATCGGGACCCACTCGATCTCCTTCTCCTCCTCCCGCTTGCCCTCCTCAACAGCTGTCATCGTGTAGACCTTTGCCGCCTTCTTTCCCTCGTCGTCGGTCATACCGTCCAAGTAAACGAGTGTTCGCCGCTCGCCATTCGAGCGCAGAATCGTCGAAACAAGCATTGTGCGGAAGCGGCTGTTCGTCGACGAGTACTGGTAGTTGTTCAGGACGGCGAAGTCGACAGCCGCGACGGACTGGAGGACAAAGGAGTAGAGTGGGGACATGTAGGACGATCCGTCGGCACGAGCTGCTCGGCGCCAGACTGTCCAGTAGGGCTGCATATCGGGCTGGAGATGAGGGGATGAGCCGGGTAGGCGGTCGGTACAGTGCAGCTCGAAGAAGTCGTCGGTAGGGATTGAAGTCTGTGTTGCGCCGTCGTGGAAGGGAATGCTGAAAGGCGAAGGAAGGGAAAGGGCGAAAGTCAGTCGAGTTTCGCGAACAGGAGGTGAACAGGAAGTCACGGGTAGACGCAGTTCCCGCTGCCAAAGCCAATGTCGGCAAAGTATCGCCCGTCAGAGCCGTCCCAGTCGACGACGCTGATTTGGTGAGACGTCGGTTCCCAGCTAAAGCCCGTGTCCTCCGGGTCCTTCCGCAGGTGACTGAACACGCGCGCGGCACACTCGCTCACGCGGAAGTCCCAGTACCGCAGGAGCGTCGCGAATGACGAGTTGGCCGAGAAACAGAAGCCGCCGCGGTTGAGGTTGACGATGCGGTTGAAGGCCTTGTCGCCCAGTCCGACGAGTTCTCCACCGCCGAGGTTGATCTCCGCCTCGTCATCGTGCCAGTCCCCAACGTGGATGCTCAGCGACTCAAAAGGTACGGCGAGAACATGGGCGGATTGGAGTTGCCGGAGGAGGTCGAGGGAGGGTCGCGAGTCGAGTAGGGCGTGTGGGAGGCTCAGCCGGGTGAGGTAGGCGGCCGCGTCTCGTCGTGAGAGCCTTCCGACCATCGTCGCGGAAGGCCAGACGGACTCGTCGCTCATCTTGCAGCGCTCGAGTCTTCGGCAGCACTCGAGGTGGGGGAAGGAGTCGAGGGGGTGAGAGAGGCGTGTTGGCGTGGTGGATTGGCTCGAGTTGGGGACTAGGTGGCTCTGAGCCTCTAGTGATCCAGTCTAGGCGAGGTCTAAGCGTGTTCGGAGCGACTGTGGGAGCAGGAGAAGACGAACCCGCGGTCGCTTGCCTTGGCGTCGTCCCACTCAGGCCAACCCGGTCGTACGCTTGCAAGACACGCTCAGCACGCTCACACATAGTCTCGAGGCATTGCCGACCCGCGACCACCGCCGACGAGCGCGACTGCGCGTCCGCTCGATTCCTCATCGCTTTTTGAATGGCGTCGGCGCTGTATCGCTCGGGAGTGGCTGCTGTGCAGGCGACGTCCTACGAGACGGCGATAGAACTCTTCACAGAGGTGCGCACAACGCCTCGAACCCGTTACAACCGTCCACAGCTCACGTTCCCCTCCTCCACCTCCACCAGGCTCTCGCGCTCGCGCCCAAGACGGCCAAGCTGTACGATGCGCGCGCCAGTGCCTTTGAGAGGGTCGGCAAGTTGCAGGACGGCTTGCTGGATGCCCGCATGGTCGTTAAACTGATGCCTGAATCGTCCCGAGTGCGTTCGCCTGCCTTCGCCTCCGTTCTTGCGCGCTCATGTCTCGCCGAGATAGGGTTACCTGCGTGCTGCGAGGATCTTGCGCAAGGCAGGGAAGCACGGCAACGCGGTTACGCTGCTAGAACAGGGTCTGAAGGCTGTCCCGGCTGAAGATGCGAAGGGCAAGGCGGTCAGCTCGTCTCTCGTTCCCGCTTCGACTCCGCTGATCGCTTCATAGTGCGCAGGACCTTGAGGAAGAGCTCGCCGTCGTCGATGAGGCGCGTAGGAAGGCCGAGGTGCGCCCAGCTGATCGTTCTGGCTCGACGACTCGCCAGCTCACCTGCGCGTCCCGCAGCACTGCCCATTTGCCTCGCTGCCGGTCGAAATCTTCGTGGAGATCCTCGCCCTTGCAATCGAGCCTCCGCCTATCTCGGTCTACACCAACACCGCCAGTCCTCGCAAGAAGGCAGTTCGTCCGAACAACCTGTACAACGCCATGCGCGTCTGTCGGTCCTGGCGGCAGATTATCCTCTCGACGCCGCGCTTCTGGTCAACCCTCACTATCGACGGCGAGATCAACCTCAGCAACGCGCAAAAGAAAGTCGGGCGGATTGTCGGTCGAGCAAATCCTGCGGTCGACCGGAGAAGCGGCAGCTCGTCTCAAGGCCTCAAGCGGCTAGTCCTCACTGCCGCACAGAACTTCTCGACTGTCGCTTTCTCCGACATACTGCAGCAAATCGGCGCCGCCGGCGCAGCATCGACCTTGCGCGAGGTCGTCTGTTCCTTCGTTGACGGGACTATCACGACTGCCTCGGTTGATGTCGAGGCGACACGGGCGACTCACTTGCTCGTCTTCCTTCAGAAGCATGCGAAGAACTCGCTTGTCTCCCTGAGCATCTGCTCTGGCGGACGGATCTACCCCGACTTCGACCTCGGCAGCATCTTCACCTCGTTCCCGAACCTCGCGACCTTGCACATCTGGGGCGCGACGACGTCCAACTTCATCCTCGGTCTGCGGGCACCCTTCCTCGAGAACGGCATCCGGCCACCCTCCCTCACCGCCACCTCCCCCTTCTCCGTCGACCCGAGCCAGCATGTAGCCGACTATCCGCCCACAAACGCCCGCAACCTCATCGTCTCAGGCGCGGTCTTCGTCTCCGACTCGGCTTGCAAGCTCTCGACCTTCCCGCACCTCGAGACGCTCGAACTCGACATCATCGGCGCTTCCATCATCTGGGACTTGCTCTCGGCGCCCAACCTTCGTCGTTGCCACGCAGTCGTGTATGGCGAGACGCATGTCACTGAGCTGCCGATGCCAGATATTGCGCGGTCATGGGCCAAAGTGGAGGACTTGCGAGTTGGCGGCGCGAAGCGCCTTGCGACTCGGTTACTCGACCATGCCCGTTCGCTCGGCCCACTTCGCCTCGACCATCTCGTCTCGCTCGACCTCTCTTTCGCTTCCCTCTCCAATCGCCATCTCTCCGAATTGTTCGGCTCAACAAACGCGCCGGTGTTGGAATACCTCAACCTGGCCAGCACGGCTGTCGCATACCCGGAGACGTCTCTCTCCTTGCCCTCTCGGCTCGACAAGCTCAAGACGCTCAACCTCGCCCATACGCTCTGGACGACAGACGAGACGATCCGGTTGCTCATCGCCGCCGCACCGCTGCTCGAGAAGCTCGACGTGCGAGGGAACGCCTTCATCACCGGCCGGCCGCTCATGGAGCTCGTCAAGTCTCGGATGTCGACAGAGGGCAAAGCGGAGGAGCGGCAGTACTCGGCCATCGTCGACCTGGCGCTCGAGGGATGTACCAAGATTGAGACGGCAGCAGTCGAATGGCTCAGGAAGCACATCAGGCCTGGCGGAGTGCGATTCCAATTCCTCGATCCGAGCGAGCGGAGGAGTAGGCGCGACTGGTAAAGCTATGCGGGCCTTGCAATCGGGATGCGTGAGATGCGGAGAAGACGAGCTACAACACCGAGAGGGATAGGTATAGACGTAAGGACGAAGGGGTAAGTCTAGCACTGCTGCTGATCTGGGAAAGAGTCGTCTACGGGAAGGAGGTGGATCTAGAGGTCTAGGATCTAGTCTGCGAGTTCGCGCGACTCTGCGCTCTACTGTTCGCCCTGCTCGCCGCCCTGCTGCCTTCCCTCGAGGCACTCGCGCTCACCGACGCACTGAGTGACGGTGCCCGCCAGCCCGTCATCGCAAAGAGCCTGTCGCTGCTCGAGCCGACTCGGAAGAAACCCGACGTGCTCGCCGCCCTCGACGAAGCGGGACTGACTCGCCGCGCCATCGGCCTCCCTCGCTCGTCTTCGGTAGGCGTGAGAGGCTGTGGTTCGTCGGTCAATGACGACTCGCCGAGTGCGAGTTGCGAAAGGGCGTCGGTAGGAGTGGTAGGCGAGACGGGAGACATGGGATTCGATTCGGGCTTTGGCTGCGAGATGTACTCGATCGTTGCGTCCGAGTCGTCGTCGAGCATGAGGTGCTTGGCGTGTTTCTCGATGAGCCTGCGAATGCGAAGGGTGAGCGAGTCAGTCGAGTCTCTCGGCTGGCAAGGCGGATTACGCACCTTCTTGTCGACATTCCGCACACGCACGGCAGCTGGAGCTCGGCATCGAGAGGCATCGGGTTCGGGTCGAGGAGCGAGTAGACGGGCAGGGTGAGCGAATCGAGGAAGCAGCAGCACTGCAAGACCGAGATCGTGAGTCGCGCTGTACATTGATAAAGCGGAAAGGACCGTCACGCACCGAGAAGAGGTCGAGCGGCTTGGCCATAACGATCTTTCTCCGCTCAGGCTCCTTCTCCTTCTCCTTGCCCTTCTTGCCCGCCTGCGCCGGGTCAAACGTTCCCACCTCGTCCTCCGTCATCGGCCGATACGTGATCTCGCAATGTATCGAGTGGCTGACGGAGATGGGCGTGACCGTCCCCTCCTGCGTTGACGGGCGGAGGTGGTTGTCGTTCGGTATCCGCGCGAGGTGGTGCACCTTCCACATCTCGTCCTTCCTCAATGCCTTGAGCGGACCCATCCGCGGTGTCTGCGTCCCACTCTTCCCTCCTCGGCCTTCGTCCGAAACTTTGCCGTAGTTGGGCGGGTGAGCCGAGTCGAGTATGAAGACGGTTTGGGAGTGCGGAGTCGGGTCTGTCGCGTGGTTCTTGTCGACGGGCGACTGAAGGTGGAATGTCTGTATGATCTTGACTTTGATCGAGTAGATGAAGATGTCTACAGGCGGGAAGAGGAGGTTGAGGCGGAAGAGGAGAAGACCGCCGACCATCGAAAACTCCGACTGAAGCGACATCACGTATGGCCCAATCTCTTCGAGGCTGCCTTCGAACTTGAGGTGCATCGGAGGCGGAGGGCGGGAGACGTCGTCGAGGCCGGGGTTGACGATCAGGAAGACGGGCTTCTCGTTGCTGAGGATGTCGCCGCCCATAGGACCGATGCCCTTCGCCTTGGCCGTGATGACGTGCCGTACTCGGCCGTACTGACATCGCTCGTAGCCTGTGCGTGTCCAGAGGTTAGCCTCGTGCAGCGAGGAGCGAAAGAGACGAAGGCGAGTCGAGGAAAGCGATCCTCACAAGCTGTCGAGGCCGGCACAATGATGATGAACTGTCTCGCAGCGAGCAGAATCATCAGCGACGTTCGTTGAGACTGTTCGACGCACGCTTGACGCACCTCGAACGTGTGCTCGCCCTTCTCCAGCTGCAACTCCTCGCCGTCCGAAAGCAGCGACACCGTCCGCTCCAGACATACGCCGCTCTCGTAAGGCGTTGAGTCGTTCCAGCCGATGTCGTAGCGGCCGATGAGCCTGACAGTCAAGTGCTTGAGCGTGCGCGGTTTCCTGCGAGAGATGTCACGCCATGGTGAGCCTCGGAAGGCGAGTCTGGACGAAGGAGGGCTGAACGCACGGCAGCCACAGCCTGACGTTCCCTCGCACAAACTCGTCGTCTGACGGCCTTCCATCGGGCTCAGGGTGCAGGAAGAAGACGTCCTCGACGAGGGATCTGCACGATGAACCCGCGGTCAGCTCGCCTGGCTCAACCACCGCTGCCGAGGGGTCCGCCGGGAGTGAGGGAATGCACACACATGTGCAAGCTAGGTTGCGCCAGCCCAATCCTGCCCAGAATGCCAGGCGAGGACGACCGCTGCCTGTTTCCTCCCGGTCGCGATGTCGACGAGGTGACATAGAACGGCTCGAGCACCGACTTCTCTGGCACGTCGAGCGGCGGCGTGCCAGCACCTTCGCCGAACGGGCGCCTCGACATGCCCCTGAAGCAGCGCGAACGAGCAAGTTGAGCGAGGTCAGGGTGGTCGAGCTTGACACACGCGGAGGAAGCGGAGTCGTTTCCGGGGAGAGGGGCTGGACTGGGCAAGCGCGGCAAACCGGCGACAGCAAGCGAGGCAAGCAAGCAAGCATAGCCGAATAGAAACGGCGACAAGCGGAGCGAGACGAAGGGAGGGAGGAGGGACCAGGCAACGCGAGGAGCGGACTACTTGCGGGTCCTGCTTGGGTGTCCTCTGCGTCAAATCTCATCGTTGCAGCTGGACTCGTGACATGCAGGAGGTGGCAGTGAGGGTGAAGGGAGAACGGGATGTGCCAGAGGTCAGCGACGACACTGTGTGCCTTCCTGGCCCAGTCCTGATACTCTTCGCGCAGAGCGATCCAGTGAGAGGGAAAAGGACTCCTTGCGAGACGCGTTGTGGGTGCAAAGTCGAAAAGATCGAAGTCGAGAAGGTTGCCCCGTTTCCTTGTCTCCGCTCGTCTCTCACGCGCACTTTTTGCGTCTTTCCGTAGGGCTACCGGGCTTGCAACTCTCCAGACCAGTGATGGCAAATGAGTATTACCGTCACTCGTAACCCCGTAATACGTCCGTAATTGCGTCCGTCAAGGAAGAGTTCGTAGAGGGTCCGTAATCGGCCGTAAAGCAAAACGAGGTGGTGGAGGTCGAGCGCGGAGCACGCAGCAATGAGCGCTACTGATCGCTACAGCGTGTGAAAGGAGGAAGCGAAGAGAGGCGCCGGGCTTGGACCGGGCGGCTGATGCGCGTACGGTCTTCTCGCCTCGTTCATCCGTAGCTTCCTCCTCTGTCCTCCCTCGCTATGAGCGGGAAGAGGCAGGGGAAGACTCGCAATCCTGCTTGGAATCACTTCATCAAGCTCGAAGAAGACTTGTCTGCGGGCGGCATCCTCGTCGAGGCAAAGTACAACACTATACACTACAAAGCCTGGTGCAAGCCGGAATTTGAGCGTCGCTTGCGGGCTTTGGAGGTGCAGGAAGGCGTAGCAGGGACTCGGGGGGCTTCGTCGCTGCTGTCGAGCGAAGATGCCAGGAGGCGAAAGGCGACAGGTCCGTCGGAGCACTCATCTCCTACAAAACAATGCTGATTCAGAACGTGATGCAGTGCTGGCAGACATGTCTTGGATACCCGGTCGTCCGAAGGAGAACCTAGCGCCGCACGTCGCCGAGTGCAAGGAGACCCAGTCGTTGTCCTCCGTCAAACCCTCGAAAGCCGACTTGCCCGACCGGAGAATCACCCTGCACTTCGTACGACGTCGTTTCACCGATGCGGAGTATCAAGAGTTCAAGCGCGACGTACTGGAAGTCGTCGTGGGAACCAACACGCCGTTCTCCTGGGTGGATCATCCGCTGGTTCGACGATGGGTCGCGAAATGGATCGGCGCAAAGCTCCCGACGCGCAACACGCTCACCGGCACGCTCTTGCGTCGAGCGGTCGACGAGTTGAACGTGGCGGTCGGAAAGAACGTCAGGGGAAAGATGGCGACGCTGACGTTCGATGGGTGGAACAACATCAAGCGTCAGCACCTTGTCGCCTTCGTCCTCACGGTGGACGGCGTCGTGCGTTTCTCCCTCCCACCTGGACGAAGCAGCAGACTCACCTTGATCTCTTCCAGTCGTACACCGTCGCCGTCGAAGACACCTCAAGCGAGAAGAAGGGCGGAGCCGAAGCGTACGCCTTGCTCGTCAAGCATCTCGAGGCTGTTCAGGCGAAGTACGGCGTCGTCGTCGTCGGAGTGTGCACGGACTCGGGGTCGGACTGCGCATGGGCACGAGGTCAGCTCCTCAAGACGATGCCGACGATCATCGTCGTCCCCTGCTACGCGCACCAGATCAACCTCGTCGTTGGCGATCTGTTCAAGAAGCGCAACGGCGAGACGTCGATGTTCAAGACTGTCGCGGACGAGATCATCAAGGTGGTCAGCTGGTTTTGCGAACACTCCCGCGCATACGCCATGCTCCGCAACGCCCAGAAGAAGAAGGGGTTCCCGCGCATCCTTGCCCTCGTCTACCCCGTGGCAACCCGCTGGTCTTCGCAACATGCGTGCGCCGCCCGACTCCTCGAGGTCATGAAACCGATGCGCACCTTGTTGATCGACGACCGCGAAAGGCTTCTTGCCGCCGGCGGAACGGGGAAGGATGCGCAGGATAAGGCGGAGGGCGTTCTGAAGCTTGTTGCCGACGATGCATTCTGGAAACGGGTCGAAGGCCTCGTCAGCATCCTGCAGCCGCTCGCGGTGGCCGCCAACATTGCGCAGGCGACGAGTTGCCGCCTCGACCAGGTGTTCCTCCTCTTCGGCCGGCTGTTCCTCCAGTACCGCCAGGTCCAGCAGCGCGAGGAGGCGAGCGAGGACACTTCGCTCCTTGTCAGCGAGGGGGCGACGCGCATCATCTCGTCCCTCGAGTCGCGATGGATCAAGGCGGATCAGGAAGTCTTCCTCGTCGCCGCCCTGCTCAACCCCTTCTTTGGCCGTACACGTCTCCCCTTCTCCGCCGTCGCGCACCAGTGGGCCGGCGACACCCTCCTCTCGATCCTCAAGCGCGTCTACCGGCGCCTCTTCCCCGAGCCTGACGAGGCGAAGATGAAGGACGCACTCGGAGCTCTCTACGACGCCTGGCAGGAGTACCGATGCGAGGGGCGCCTTTGCGGACCACCTGTTGGAGATTGAGGAGTTGCGTCAGCAGGCTGAACGGAAGAATGCGTCGCCGAATCCTGTCGATGTCTGGCTCGTTTACGTTGGCACGCACGGCGAAACCTCGATCGCTCGCCTCGCGTTGCGAGTCCTCGCGGTCGTTCCCAACACCGCGGCGAACGAGCGCGTGTTCTCCGCCTGGAGCCTGATCCACACGAAGACTCGCAACCGACTCGGCCACGACCTCGTCATGGACGCCGCACGCCTGCGCGCTCACCTCCTCGACAATCTGCCGCAGCGGTCGAGGCAGAAGCGCGAGACAGCGCCGAATGGCGCTCCGTCCCCTTCGCCGCTCCTCTCCACGCGCGCTGCTGCTGCCGTATCTTCGTCCATCGCCGAGATTGATGTCGACGACCTCCTCGATCTCGACGCGACCATCGAGAACGTGGCCCGCTCGTGGTTCCGTCGCGAGCTCGAGGCAGAGGAGCAGCAGTTCGAGGAGGAGGACGCACTGCTCGGATCCGCCAAGTTGACCCTTGAAGACATCTTCAAGGACGACAAACGGCTTGAGGAGGTGCGAGCGACGGTGCGAGCGAGGTGGGCGGAGGGCGAGGCGGCGATGGAAGCTGAGGCGGCGCAATTCGAGTCGGTGTCGGCTGAAGGCGGTCCGAGTGAGGTGGTGGAGTTGGGTAAGCGGCAGCACGAGGAGATTGTGCTGAGCGATGACGACGACGAGGAAGAGGCGTGGGAGACGATCGGCTGAAAAGTCCCACGGCGACACCTCCCCTCGAGTCCTCTTTGTATTCCCATTACAACTTTTTGTATTTGATTACAAACTCTATTACGCGTAATTACGTCCGTCAAGCAAGCCAAGGGACCTCGACTTTACGATTACTTACTATTACTTACGGTTTGACATCACTGCTCCAGACGGCGTTGAAGACCTCGCAAAGCGCCGACATCTCCATTTCTGCTCACCGCGAGTACCGACCGACCGCTTCCCCTCGCTCTCCTCCAGTCGGCCTCGACCCTCGGCCCCAGTCTCGCAGCGACTGCCTCGGTGTCGCTGAGGAAGGAGACAGAAAACTGCAGCACGTCGAGTGCGGCGAACGGAAGAAGCGAGAGAACCGTCTTCTCCTCCCCCTCCCATCTCCTCTCGTCGCCGGGAAGCGATCCACGATCGCTCGCTCTTCGCCTGGATCGACAGATCTTATCAAGCGTGTGAAGTTTCGTCCGCGTTGTCGCAGCAGGACCGAGAACTTCGGTTTGCAGTGCAGAGGAGTGTCAGCGTGCAGCCCGTTGCCGCCGCCTCTCGACCCTCTTCCCTTTCTTCCTCGTCTCACTTCCTCACGCTCAGACTCCGTTCCCTTTCTCTTGTCTCCAATGCTTTGTTCTCCTCGTTCCCTTTGTCCTTCCGTAGCTTAAGAACCCCTCCCTCGCTCTCTCTCCTCTCTCCTCCCTTCAGATCACTTTACCGCAACCTTGCTACGTTCACGTGCTCTCACCTCGTCCGCTCGCGCTCTCTCGGTCTCCGCTATCGTTCTCTCTCTCGACTCGACTCTCTCCCGCCGTCGCCGACTCTCCACCTCGACGACTGCCTGTACGTTCCCCCTTCTCGCTCCGTTCCCTGCTCCCCTCCGGATACTCACCTAGCGCGGTCACTCGCTGCACCAGTCGCGGTAACACGCTTGACGTATCCTAGCGCTTCATTGCTGCTCCTCAAGACCCCTTACTCAAGGTGCGCCGAGTGCTCCCTCACAAGGAGCAGGATTGACGTCGAGCGACTGCTGCGCTGCGACGGTGCGGGCAGCGTTGCGGGATTGACGCCGGTCAAGCGGGACAAGCTTTTGCTTGCTGTATGCGGCCCCTTTGAAATTGGAGAGCAAGAACTGAGTGTCGTCAGACGTCGAGATGACGTACCGAGCTGCCTCGTCGTTTGACGACCCTCGACCTCTCTGCTCGGCTCCTCTCCTTCCTTCACATACATTCTTCGAACGAACAACCACACATCTACAATGGACAAGGTGTGTCTCGACGACGACGCCGAGACGAGCTTGCGCTGACCTTCCCAACTCGCTTCTCCTCCTCCGCCGCCATCCTCTCAACAGATCAAGCAAGTCTTCAGCCACGAGAAAGCCGCCCACGAGACCGGCTCGACGACTGGCACCAACACTGGCGCCTCGAACGTCGGCGCTACCCAGACCCCGACTCAGTCTGCTGCTGGCGACCGCACTTCCGTCGGCAACGACACCTCCGCCGCGTCTCGCACGGCCCGCACCGCCGAGAGCGAGCTTGCTGGCAACCGCACCGCAGAGACGGCGACGACTGGAACCGGCGCGACGTCGACGACCGGCTCGAGGACGACTGGTTCCACTGGCGGCGCTGTCGAGCGTGGAATGGAGCACGTCCGCGAACACGCTGCTCCCCCTCCCCACAAGCACCACCAGCCCGGCCGCGACCAGGCCCTCGACGAGCGCGAGGCCAAGTCGGCAACTCACGACCACCAGCACCTCGCTCCCGTCACCCGTGCGTGCTCGTCCTTCGTCGCTCTTTCCCTTGGCATTGATTACTGATGCCGAGCCTTCCCTTTTCCTAGACGAGCGCCGTCACCACCACGAGGTTGAGGAGGTCGAGCGCCAGCGCGAGGTTGACCGTCACGGTGCGTCCTTGTCGACGTCGTCTCCTGCGCGGGACTTGACTGACTTTTGACTCTGCAACGCAGTCCACCACGTCCAGCACCATGTCCAGCCCGTCCTTGACGAGCAGCACAAGGGCGAGACCCGCCATGAGAAGAACGTCCCCGTCACCGAGATCAACGAGCGCCATGTCGCGACTGACGAGGACAAGGCTCAGTTCGCTTCGCTCGGCAAGGAGCGCGACACCTTCCAGGAGGCTCCTCGCGAGAAGACCATTGTTGACCGCGGCGAGCAGGTTCACGAGAACACCCACCACCACGTTAGTTCGATCTCGCATTCAGCCTCTTTTCGTACAGCCACTTACGTTTCTCGTCTTCTCGCAGGTCCACCATGTCGTCCAGCCCGAAATCGAGCGCGACACCCACGAGCACCACCGCATCCACACCACCGTCCCCATCCACGAGAGGGTTGAGGAGGCACCCGTCGTCCACCAGTCGGTGAAGCACGAGGCACTCCCGATCTCCGAATTCACCAAGAACGGCGGCGATCTCAACTCGACCCGCAAGCACGACGCTTCCCTCCTCGACCAGGGCGAGTGCGAGCGTACCGGTGCGTTCCAGTCTCTTCTCCCTCGTCTGTCTCTCTCCTGAAGCTGACGAATATGACCTGTCGCAGTTGACGGACCCGCAGAGTCCCTCACGCGGTCGCTCGGCCTTTCCTCCGGCAACAACGTCGAGCCCAACCGCGAGACCCGCGTCTGAGCGTTATCGACCTCGTACGACATGTTCTTAACGACGTAGCTGTGCATATGCAGGCTTCCGCTCCTACGAAGAGCGGTGTAAATATCCCTTAGAAGTCTTTACTCTCTCGCGGACGGAGAGGGTTCTTAAGGCCACGCAGACTTCGCTCGAAGTTGTGAGGTCGGCAAGGATTTCTGCATTGCTCTTGAACCGAAAAGTAGTCGTACAGAAACTTCCGACGAAAGACAGAAGCAAAAGGAGGGTGAGATGCGAGGGGGTAAGGCGGTCTCAGTGGGCCTTCTCGAGCGATTGCTGCGCGACGAGCTCGTAGTAGAGCCTGCAAGCGCCAAACATTCAGCTCGAGCAGCCAGTGACAGAAGGGAAGAGTCGCAACGCACCCTCGCTTGCTCAGCAACTCGTCGTGCGTCCCGCGCTCGGCGATGACGCCGTCCTTGAGCACAAAGATGCAGTCGGCATTCTGAATGGTCGAGAGACGGTGGGCGATGGCGATGGTCGTGCGGTTCTTGGCGGCTTCGTCGAGCGCGCGCTGGACGACCTTCTCCGACTCCGAGTCAAGCGCCGAAGTAGCTCTGCAGAGGGAATCAGGTCAGCTTGAGAGCGCTGGAGAGCTGGTAGAAGCGGATGCGCACTCGTCGAGAAGCAAGATCTTGGGGTTGCGGATCAAGGCGCGAGCGATGGCGATGCGCTCTGCAGGCGCACGCAGCGTCAGTGCTGGCCGGCGCGAGACTCGGGAAACGCTCGACTGACGCTTCTGACCGCCCGAGAGCTGCGCTCCCTTGCCGCCGACCTCGGTGTTGTAAGCGTCAGGCAAGCCCATGATGAAGTCGTGGATGTTTGCGCTCTTGCAAGCAGCCTCGATCTCCTCCTGCGAGACCTGCTCGGGCGGGACGAAGGCGCCGAGGGCGACGTTGTGCTTGATCGTGCCGGCGTAGAGAGTCGGCTCCTGCGAGACGAGGGCGATGGCGCGGCGGTAGCTCTGCACGTTCAAGGTGCTGATGTCCTTGCCGTCGACGATGACTCGGCCGGCGAGGGTGTCGCTGCGAGATGCGCTCAATCAACTCGAGTTCGAGCGAAATCGCAAGCTGAACTCACTAGAATCGCAAGAGAAGCTGGGTTGTCGTACTCTTGCCGCATCCCGAAGCTCCGCAGAACGCGACAAACTGGCCAGGGAGGACCTCGCTGCGAACTCATCATGCGTCAGGAAGCGGTTGACGAGGGAGGAGGGAACTGCAAGCGTACAAGTCGAGACCTCGAAGGACCGGCACCTTGAGGCGAGTCGGGTACCGGAAGTGGACCTTCTCGAACCGAATGTGTCCTTCAGCGGTAGCGAGGTCGAACTGCTCGCCATTCGGGTCTTCGGCGTCGATGTCGGGGACCGAGTCGGCGAGCTTGACGAAATCGGCTGCTGCGCCTCGTGCGGAACTCATGTCGGGGACGAATGAGAAGACGTTGCCGGCCTGGATACTCGCAAAGACGACGCTGATCTGGGCGACGAAGAAGGCGCTTGTCGAGAGACCCTTGTCGACCATCTGTGCAAGCGTGAGGGTCAGTATGAGCGGAGCGAAGTCGTGGCGAGATCGTGAGTGTACCTGGTGGGAGCCGAACCAGAAGATGAGACCGATGACGAAGAAGCTGAGAGCCTGCGAGAGCGAGTAGAGGGCGTTCGAGTAGATGGCGATGCGGTTCGAGACGCGCATCGGCTCCTCGAGCTGGCGCGAGTAGATCGCGGTGCAGTCCGCCTCGCGAGTGAGCGAAGCAACCGTCCGGATGCTCGCCGCGGCCTCGCAAGCCATCTGCGCCGACCCCTCGTGACTCTTCTTGTTCTTCTGGTCCTTGAGCACGACGACCTTGAGACGAACGATGCCTGCCGAAAGGGTGAGCGGCATGCAGGCGATACCGACAAGCGCGACACGCCAGCTGTAGATCAGACCGATGATGGCGCCCGAGATGAGGGTGAACTGAAGCAAGAAACGAGGTTAGCGAGGCGAGCGAGTGAGAGAGGGTGGTAGCGGGCGAGGCGAACGTACGACCGACTGGATAATGACGCCCTGCGTGACACCGAACAGGCCGTAGATCTTCGTCGCGAGGTCGCTGATCTGGTTCGTCAGCTTGCCGGTGCTGTTCTCGTCGCGGTCGAAGTAGGCGATGTCCTGGCGGAGTTCGGCGGAGAACGTCTGCAGGCGGATCTTGGCGGAGAGGCGCTCAGCGGTCGAGCCATAGAGCCATGCTTGCAGGAAGATGGCGAGCGTCGAGACTGCGGGAGAGAAAGTCAGAGGCGGGAGACAAATCTCGTCCGTTGAGCGTACCGAGGGCGATCTGCGCAGCGCAGAGACGGTCAGTAGCGGTCTCCAGCACAGGTCACTTAAGGAACGCACGATGAAACAGTACAACGCATGACGGTCTCCGCCCGAGCGAAGCTTGGCTGCGTCCGTCTCCTGGAAGACGCCGATCGTGCCGCCGAAGACGATACCAAAGACCGGGTAGACGCATCCACAGGCAATGGCGGCGACGAAGGCGACGATGTACTGCTTCCACTGGTCGCGGTTGAGCTTGAACATGCGGTAGCAGAGGTAGGGCAGGCCGAGGTGGCGGCCGCGCTGTTGGCCGGCTTCGAGGTCGAGTTGCTGGCGCTCGATAGCCTGCGAGGCGAGACTGCGTCCGGTACCGGTGCGCTTGAGGTTCTCGAACTGCGGCTTCTCGTTGCGGGCCATCTCGTCGATCTGGGCGCGGGTCAGCTCGCCTGGAAGTGCCGTCTGCTCGTCCGTGGAGTCGACCGAGCTCGAGTCGAGAGGTGCATCTTCGGCCTCCTTCTGCTCCCGAAGGCGCTGAGCGTTGACGAGCTTGGTGTAGGCGCCGTCGGGCTTCTTGAGGAGGATGTCGTGCGCGCGTTCGGTGTCGGTCGACATGGCGGACTCGAGGATGTGGCCGGCGGTGAGAACGATGATCTGGTCTGCGCCCTTGATGGTCGAGAGACGGTGAGCGATCGAGATGGTGGTCCTGCCGAGCGAGGCGCGGTCGAGGGCGTCCTGGACGATACCTTCGGACTGCGTGTCGAGGGCCGAGGTGGCTTCGTCGAGAAGGAGGATCTTCGGATCGGAGACGATGGCGCGAGCAATCGCGATGCGTTCTGCGTCGTTCAAGTCGTCAATGACACTATAAGCAACTCGCCGAGAGGGTGGACTCACGCTTCTGACCACCAGAGAGGAGCATCCCCCTCTCGCCAATCTGCGTCTCATACCCGTTCGGCAGCTGGCTGATGAACCCATCCGCATTCGCCAATCGACACGCATCAACGACTCGCTGCCTCTTCTGCTCCGGCGACTCGTGCTCGAAGCGCGAACCGATCAGGCCATGCTCGACGTTCCCCGCGATGGTTGTCGCGAAGAGGACAGGTTCCTGGCTGACGAGACCGATCTGGTTGCGCAGCCACTTGAGGTTGAGGTCCTTGATCGGTACGCCGTCGAGCTTGACTGAGCCAGCGACGGGATCGTAGAAGCGCTCGATGAGGCCGACGCAAGTCGATTTTCCCGAGCCGGATCCGCCGACGAGCGCGGTCGTCTTGCCAGGTGGGAAGACGCCGTTGAAGTTGTAGAGGACCTGAACGGCAGGACGCGAGGGATAGAAGAAGTCGATCCCCTCGAGCTCGATGAGGCCGTCAACGTTTTCGGGCTTGAGACCCGCCTCGGACGACGAGTCGATAGACGGAACGCGGTCGATCGTCGAGAAGATCTCGGTTGCTGCGCCGCGAGCGAAAGAGACGGCTTGGAGGTTCGGCGCGAGCTGGGCGAGCGAGAAGGCGCCACTGTTTTCGGAGGAGGAGTGTCAGGACTTTCTGGGGAGTGGAAAATCTAGAGACGTTGAGACTGACATGAGCACAGAGAAGAACACGTTGACCACGGCGCCTGACGTAGCGCGCCCTTGCTGTAGACGAGGAGGAGGAGAAGAACCCGTCAGCTCGAGGAGAAACGACGAGAGAACGGCTATGTACTCACGATGATGAGCGTAGTACCGTAGTAGAACGCCAGGCCGTAGCTACTGTAGATGATGAAGAAAAACACAGCCAGTCCTCCGCCGTTGAACAACGCACTCTTCAACCCCTCCCTCAGCGTCTTCTGATTCGGCTCGTCATACATCGCCGCCAAGCGCTTCTGGTTCCCGAACGCATGGACGGAACGGATGGAGGAGAGGACTTCTTCGGCGAGTGTGGCACCCTGGGCGGTCGCCTCGAGTTGGTTTTGCTTGTAGGCTGACATGTACTTGTTCATCCTAGACGGGGAGGCGGAGTTAGCGACCGCGATGGGGGAAGGAGAGTGAGAGTGAGGTACGCACATGCCTCCGGCGATTGCGATACACGGGATGATGGTACTGACGACGAGTGCGAGACGCCAATTGCGGATGATCTGCGAGAAGCGAGCAAGTCAGTTTCCGACTTTGAGGCTGAAATCGAGGTGGACTCGCGACGCACGGCGATGACGAAACCTGAGATGAAGATGGCGATGAAGAACACCGAGATGGCGATCTTGTCGCTGATGCCCTCCTCTGCGAGAGCGCGGGGAGATCAGCTCGAAGCCGCAAAGGGGGAGGAGACAGCTGGACGGACGGATCAAGTGCGTGTCGGTCTCGATACGGGTCGTGACCTCTGTCGCACAGCGAAGCCATCAGTACCGTCCTCTGCACCCGCGTGCTCGAGACTCACCTCCCGGCCCCATCCTGTCGAAGAACGCAATGTTCTGCCTCAACACCGCCTGGAGGTACTTCTCGCGGATCCTTCGTGTTGCTTTCTCGCCTGTGTAGATCCAGGTCGCCATGTAGATCCAGGTGGCGACGACTGCGAGACGGCGGAAAGGAAGTCATTTCGGGAGGTAGGGTCCGCCGGACAGGTTGGCGAGAATGTTGACGATGCCGAGGCTGAGAGAAGGAGCGGAAGGACGCACAGGAACCGATACCGATGTAGACGAGTACGAGAACGTCCTTGTTGACCTCGTGGAAGAGATGTGTTCGCGCAGCCGCAAGTTCGCGCGCAAAGGTGGCCTGGTCGGACGGAGGAGAAAGCAGGATCCTTCCATAGTCGGTGAAAGAAGTGGTGAGGTTGCCGAAGAGGATGGTCATGGCCGGCTGAGCGACTCCAGCGAGGATGGCACAGATCAGGCCGATTCCGTTCAGGAGGAGCTCGAATTTGGTCGTGAAGCGGAAGAGGTCGCCGAACGTCGCGGGTGGGCGCTTCAGGACTTGACTGTGTGTGTGCAGGTGTCAGCGGAGAGGCAGGAAAGAGGGCAAGGGGACTCACATCTGCTCTGCGATGACCTGGCGGTACTCTGGCGAGAGGTGCGCGAGTTCGGGGTTGTCGAGCGCGATCTCGAGCGGGCTGCGCTTGTCGACCTTGGCCTTCTTGCTCTTCTTGTCCTTCTTGCCCTTGGCACCCTTGCCCTCGCCGTCGATGCCTCCCGCCGCTCCTCCCTTCGCCCGCTCGTCGCGCTCCTTCTCCAACTCGAGTGCGGCCGTGACCTTCTCGTCGATCGACTCGCTGCCCCTCGTCGTCGTCTTCTCACTCACGTCGCCCAACCCGCCCGCGCTCGTCGAAGGCGGAGTGTGCTCGATGTTGGTCGACGGTGAGGAAGAACCCGTCGACGGATGGTCCGGTGTGGGTGCGACGGGCGCCGATTCGACGTCTGCGGTCTTGGCCAGTCCGTCGTGCGTCTTGTGTGTCTGTCCCGCTGCATCCGATGTGCCCGCCTCGAGGTGAGTCGCGTGTTCGGCGGTGGAAGGGTGGGTGGGAGGAGGTGCGACTGCGTTCGGGGCAGAGACTTGACCTGCGACGGCTGCTGCTGTGGGTGCGGTGCCCGTTGCCGCGTTGCCTGGGTCTGCCATGGCTGCGTGAGTGCGCGAGGAGAGCAAAGGAGGGCGATGCCGCGAGGGAGACGAGTCTGCTCGGAAGCGAACTCGGCTGCCAAGCCACGCCGCTCCCATCTCGCTGACTTGGAAAGAACACAGGCTGCGCACAGCGACAACAGCTGCGAGAGCACATACACGCGAGTCAGGCGGCACTGCGCAACGAGCTGGGCAGGGGAGAGCGAGCAATGTCCGCGAGGTGCAACTGCGAGACGCAAGAGTTCGTGCGACGCGGACGACGGAGGCCGCCGTTCCGTCTCGCTCAGCGTCGGGAAAAGTCGTCCAGTCAAGCTGTCGACGCACGAAAGCAAGGAGGAATCGGAGGATTGACGACGAGGCGACCTTCTCTCTCGGACGCACAACGTCGTTCTCCCTCGAGCAACGTCGATCTCTCGCATCCAATCATCAAACAACGAGGCAAACCGACGTTTGAGAGTACGCCAACCTCAAAGCGAAGCCGTCGGAGAGGGTTGTGTGCGGACGAGCGCTGCTACCTTCTCGCTCGCTCAACGGCCTCGATGTAAGAAAAAGCGCGCGACCAGGCGCACGGTATTGCTGCTTAACCTTGCGAGGGAGACTACAAAGGAGATGCTGAGCGAGGGAGAGTTCTAGGGAGGGGCACATCTTGAGGACGGGAATGGGAGCTCTATCGAGCGGGCGAAATAAAGTCGAGAGAGTGAGAGTAGGTGTGTAGAGGAAACATGCACGACGAAGGGAAAGACTGCAAAGGGAAACGAGAGACGAGGAGAGACGAGGCGCGAGAATCTAGAGGTTGACGCCCTTTCCGATGCTGAACACCTTGAACCCGATCTCGCGCAACTTGTCCGCGTCGAGGATCCCACGTCCGTCAAAGACCATCGCGGGCTTGGCCATCGAGGCGTAGATCGCGGACCAGTCGAGAGTCTTGAACTCGTCCCACTGTGCGCGCGAGCGGCGGGCGGGTCAGTCGGAGAGAGGAAGGAGGTGGGAGGGTAGTGAACGAACCTCGGTGAGGACGCAGATACCCTCGGCGCCGGTGCACGCCTCCATCGCGGACTTGCAGACCGTGACCTGCTTCTTGACTGCAAGGGAGGACGAAGGGAGCGTCAGCACGGGAGCTCGCCATCCATCAAGGCAGCTTCAAGCAGAACCCGCTGTCGCAACGGACGAAACCTGGGACTCACCCTGCTCCGAATCATCGACGACGCCTGGCTCAGTCAAGTCGAGGAAGATCTGCTTCTCCGGGACCTTGGGGTCGTACACGCTAATCTTGGCGCTCTCCTGACGGAAGAAGCGGCAGACCGTGGCGGAAGGGGTCTCGCGCGTGTCGCCCGTGTCCTTCTTGAACGCGAACCCGAGCACGGCGAGCTTCTTGTTCGTGATCGTGTTGAACATGCTCGAGACGACCGTTTGCGCGAAACGGCGCTTCTGGTACTCGTTCATCGTGATGACCTGTGACGCGCATTGACCGGCTCAGCAAGCGAGTCCAGCTTTCGCGCCAGACTTCGAGCGCAGAAAGGTTCACGCGGACTCACCTGCCTCCAGTAGTCCGCGACCTCAGGCAGATGCAAGCTCTCCGAAAGGTAGACCAAGTTGAGGATGTCCTTCTGGAAGCACGACCCTCCGAATCCAACCGAGCTCTTGAGGAACTTGGGACCGATACGGCTGTCGAGGCCGCAGGCGTACGCGACTTCGTCGACGTCGGCGCCGGTGACTTCGCAGATGGCCGAGAGGGCGTTGATGGATGAGATGCGCTGGGCGAGGATGGCGTTGGCGGCCTGCGGGGACGAGCGAGGTCAGTCTCGCGGGACAGATGCGAGGGGAGGGAGGGACGCACGAGCTTGGTGAGCTCCGACGACCACAAGCCCGTCGTGATGCACTTCTCCCTCGGGACCCAGTTGGCGTAAACGTCGACCAAGCTAGCCTGCGCCGCGCGACCCTCGGGCGTCCCAAGCGATCCAATGAGGACGCGGTCGGGGTGAGCAAGGTCGTTGATGGCGGTTCCCTCGGCGAGGAACTCGGGGTTCGAGAGGATGTCGAAACGGAGACCTGGTCGCGAGTTGGCTTCGAGGATGGTGCGCATCGACTGGGCGGTGCGGCACGGGACGGTCGACTTTTCGACGACGATCTTGGACGAGGTGGCGACGGACGCGATGCGGCGGGTGCAGAGCTCGACGTAGCTGCGAGAGTTCGAGGATCAAGATCAGCATAACGCCGAAAGGCACAGCCAGATCGTGAAGAGGCGCAACGGCAACTCACAAGAGGTCGGCGGCGTAACCCGCGCCAACACCGCTCTTCTTGGTGGGCGTGTTGACCGAGACAAAGATGAGGTCTGCCTCGACAATGGCCTTGTCAATGTCGGTGTCGAAGAAGAGGTTCTTGCCGCGGCAGGCCTTGACAATCTCCTCGAGTCCGGGTTCGTAGATGGGCAAAGTGTCCGAGTTCCAGGCGTTGATGCGGTCGGCGTTGACGTCGACGATGGTGACCTGGATGTGCGGGCACTTGTGCGCGATCATCGAGCAGGCTGAGGAAGGAGAGGCGGGGATGGGAAGGTCAGTATGGTCAATCCCGCTCGCCCCGTTCATCCTTCGGTTGCCTCGCTTCATCGCCGTACACTGCACTGCGTCAGCACTGCGCCCTGCAAGACACCGCTGGCCCTTTCTCTCGGCCGCTCAGGCCTCGCTCCCATCGCCTGGTCCCCTCGCGCAAGATGCGTGCAGCCGTTCCGCAAGCGAGCAGCCGTGCTGTCGTGTGCGTGTGCGAGCCCTCTTGTCACAGCCTTTGAGCCGACAGCGCGACCCTTCGTAGACCACCACCTCGTCCCGTTCTCCTCGCTGCCGACCCAGAGAACAAACGCAGGACTCACTAGGTCCGCCGACATAGCCCGCACCGATGCACGCAATCTTCTTGACTTGCTGCGAGCACCCAAGCGCGGTCAGGGAGTGAGTGAGGGCGCTGATCGGGCGAACGTGTCTCGACGGGAGGAGGGGGAGACGAGCGGGTGGGAGGAAAGGGAGCGCACGACGGGAGTGATCTGGGATGCCATTGCTGCTGTTTCGAGATGGCCAAATAGCGTAGCAGAGCAGCAGCGAGCGTGAGAGTGAGCGAGAGGGAAGACGTGAGCGGGAGCGGGCGCGGGAAGAGGTGCGCGCGCTTGAACGCGACGCACAATTACCCAACGAGAGCTAGGACAAAGGCTTACTAGGCTGTATTGTTACTCTCTGGAGACTCTCTGTCAATCGGCGGGTAAAAGGGAAATACAGATTTTGGCCTGCCAGAGGAGGAGGGAGGAACGAGGAACGACGACGACGACGGGGTGGTGGGACATACACACACACACACGGCGAGAGAGGGACGGGGGCGACGACGAGGAGAGGAGAAAGGACAGGCGTGTATCGCGGGTGATCAAGGACTCGGGTGGGAGAGGCAGGGGGGGGGGGGTAAAAAGCCCGGCCGACTGTAACGCACGGCGAGGGCGGGAAATGCGAAAGGGGAGCGAATTAGAATAAGGGGGAGTCGTCCGGTCCGTCTAGGCGTGTATATGGGTGACGGGAGCGACAACGACAGGTTCGGGGTGCAGCAGGCGGTGGTGGCAACAAACGGTGGTTAAATAGGGCGGGCAATGTACGGTGGGGAATGGGCGATATGGTCATAGGGCTGCGTTGTCGGCAACGCGGGCGAGCGAGAGGGAGGGAGGCAGGAGGCGGGAGAGGCGAGGCGAGGCGAGGCGAGACAACAGGCGGAGGAGGCGAGGCGACGCTCGACGGCGATCATGTCGGGCCGTGCTGCGCGAGGTGCCCGAGATGTGACGAAGAGTGGATACCCACCATCGACTGCGGGTTCGTCGCAAAGGCGTGCTGGAGGCCGGACGAGGCCTGGTGGACGAGCTGCGGCCTCGAGTGCGACGGCGCAATCGACATGCTCGGGTACATCGAGAGCGGGCTGACGTTGTTTGACGGCGGCGCGCACCCAGGCGAGTGAGGCGACAAGCCGGCGAACTGGTGCTGGTACGACGCCATCGGCGAGGGCATGACGGTCGTCGGGTTCGTGCTCGCGCCCGATCCCGAAGCGGTCGAGTCGCGCGAGTTGCTCCGCGACTGCGGGTCGCTCGACGAATGGCCCGCCGCCTCGGCCGCCTTGGCCGCCTCCTCCTCCTTGCGCTTCTTCTCCGCCGCAACAGCCTGACTCCGCGCCTTGCTCCATCGCAAGCCGCACGCGTTGCAGAGCGTCTTCGGGCCTGTCGGTCCCGAGCGCCACTCGGCGGAACTCGTGCGGCCGCAGTTGGCGCAGGAGCGTTGGCCGGTGCCGGCTTTGGGCGGAGGAGCCTTGGCGTGCATCGCCTTCTTCTTCTTGATCGTCTCGAGCGCCTCGCGCTCTTCTCGCAGCTTCTTGTTCGTCAGGCGCACTGTCAGAGCAGGAGGTCAGCAACGGAGGGGAAGGAGGAGAGAGAGACGTCGAACGCACTTTGATGCAGCTCAAACTGCCAACTCGTGCCACGGGTCACGTTGAGCTCGTCAAAGACGTTGTCCGACACGCTCGACGACGTCGCGAGAGACTTGAAGGTGCTCGGAACGGCCGAGAACGAGGTGAGGCCGGGCGGACCTGTGCCGGGAATCGCGGCAGCAACGACGGGCGCACAGACGGCAACGCCGGCAGACGACGCCGATGCTGTCGTAGCCGCCGCCGCCGCAGACGTCGCAGCAGTGTCGACTGTTCGCCCTCCGCTGCTCCCGCTCCGCTTGCTGCCGCTGAGGACCGACTCGCCCGAGTTGATCGAGCTCGAAGCCGAACTCATGGCAGCCGCCTCTCGTCGCGCCCTGTCGCCCTCGTCCGACGCCAAGCTGATCTGCACAATGACGGCGACCTGTTTGCCGCCGACGGGAGTGAGGATGGGCGAGGTGACGATGACGGGGTCGGTTTCGCTGCGCGCCGGGTAGAAGCGGGTGACAACTTCGATGGGCGCGCGGCCGGGTACGGGCGTGATCGAGTGCTGGACCTTGGTCGGCTCGCCCTTGGTCGCCTTGAGCAGGGCGCTCATGAACCGCTCCGAGTCGTTCATCGTCCGTCGCGAGAGGTCCGAGATGGACCTACCGACGATGTCGACCGTGACGTTCGACACGCCGAGGACCTTCTCCGCTGACGAGGTCGCAGCAAGGAAGATACCGTCGACGCAGACCTTGGCCCAGAATTCGTAGTCGCCCTTGCCGACACCGCCAGCGAGCTCGAGGTCGCGCCAGGACATCTTGTACACCTCGCGCGGTCGGCCTGTGAGGATGACGCACTTGCGCCCCTTGCCGGGCTCGAGGTGCAGGCGGCCCTTGGCCTCGAACCAGACATAGCCCGAGTTCTTGCGTCGGATGCGGAAGACGAGGTTGACCGACGGGTGGGCCGAGACGCCGGCGTCCTTGAGCTCGCGCTGGACCGAAACGATGTCGGACGGGTGGCAGAAGGACGAGAGCGTCTTGCCGAGGAGCTCGCCTGGCTCGTACTCGAGGAGGTGCTTCGAGGCGTCCGAGACGTACAGCAGCGCGCCCTTGAGCGAGAGGACGTGAATGAGGTCGTCGCTCTGCTCGACGAGGAGGCGCATGAATTGCCGCCGCAGTGTCTCGTTCGCGAGTCCGGCAACACCGTTCGTCGCGACCGTGCCGATCAGCTCGCTCGGGTCGTCCGTGCGGAGCTGCTCGCGCGCTTGGTGGACCGCAGCGCCGGCCTTGGCGACAGCCTGCGCGGCATGGGACTGCGCGTGCTGCGCCGCGTTGTGCGCCGTGTCCTCGAGCTGCTCGAGCGCGATCGCCGGGTCGAACGAGATGACCGAGGGGTTGCGGGCGATGGTGGCGTGGACGACCGAGTAGTTGACGACGTACGAGCCGTTCTGCATCTTGTCGAGGATGGCGGCAGGCTGGTCGACGAGGTCGACCTGGAAGCCAACGAAGAACGAGATGTCGCCCGAGTCGTCGTACGAGACGGGGATGCAGGTGACGAGGTTGATGAAGGGTTTGCCGTTCTTGTGGTAGTTGATCAGCGAAACCTGCGTCTCCTCGCCGCGGACGATGTGCTGGCGGAGGTGGTGCGCGGCGTTGCCGTCCGTGTACCGTCGCTTCTCGCCCTGCACGACCTGCTGGTCGCCAGGTGCTTGCAAGAAGCGGCCTGCGAGAGTGACGAGCGTCAGCACGACTAGCGAACAAAGAGCGAGCGCGAACGCACAATTCCGCCCGACAATCTCCTCAGTCGCGTACCCCGTCAACTTGCCAAACGTCTCGCTGGCATAGACGATCGGCTGGTCAAACTTCTTCGCGTCGACAACGACAAACGAGCAGCTCATGTCGACCGCTCCAATCTCGATCGTCGGGTTCTTGCGGTTCACGACGCGTGCGAGGATACCGATCAAGTCGAACCCGCTCGTCGAGTAGATGTTCTGGTACGAGTTGGCGGTTGTCGAGCCGTTGTTCGTGCGGGGAGGAGGCATAGGCAAGCCGAGCGCCTTCGGGTCGTAAGGGTCTGAAGGGGCGGTCGGGTTGTGCGAGAAGGGCGCGGGGTCAACCTGCTGCATCGACTGTCGTCGCGACGCCGGCGGCTGATATTGCTGCTGCTGCTGCTGCTGCTGCTGCTGGGGCGACAACATATGGACAGCGCCGTAGGACGAGCCGTACAAGTCGTAGATCGGGTTGGCCGGGTCGTAGGACGGGTAAGGCTCGCCAGCGCTAGGCGGAGCTTCTGGCCGAGGCGACTGAGCCTGCTGGGCGGACGACTGCCTCGACGACGAGCCCATCATTGCGCCGGGCGCGATGGACAACACGGGCGACGAGACGGTGCGTGTTGCGGCGCTCAGCCGCGCACGGGTCGCCGCGCTCAGCGAGGACTGGTGCTGCTGTTGCTGCTGTTGAGGGCGTTGCTGTTGCTGCTGGTGACCGCCGGCCGAAGGCGTGATGGAGATACTGCCCGCCCTGAGGCGCGCAAACGCATCCATCGCCGCCGACATGCCGGCCTGCTGCTGCTGCTGCAACTGCTGCTGCTGCCTGAACGCCTCGGCAAGCGCGTTCGACCCGTTCTGCGCAGGCCCATTCCACATGACGCCTCCGCCACTTCCGTCGCCGTTCCTGTACGCCGTCAAGACCGTCCCGTTTCCCCCTCCTCCGCCGCCGCCGCCTCCGGGAGCCGTATAGCTATAACTTCGCGGCACGACTTCAGCCTGAGGCGGATCCGCACCAAACATGATCCTCGCCCCCGAGACCGAGCCCGAGACCTCTGCAAACCCACTCAACCCGCTCGACTGGAGCATATTGTCAACCTCGTTGTCGACCGCGTCGGCCATGGCATGGTCAAAGTCGGTTGTGGTGGAGGGCGAAGCGGCGGAGAGCGCTTGGGGGCCGTAGTCTGCGTCGATAGGGTCGATCGAGGTTGAGCCGTAGGCGGGAGCGAGGGCGGGCGAGACGTCGTAGTATGACATGGAGCTGGACGGGCCGGGGTTGTAGAAAGAGGGAGAGGCGAGCCATGGGAGGGAGGAGGAGGCTGGGGAGGGGGGTAGGATTGTTGGCGCTGCTGCTGGTTCGGCTGCTGGTACTGCTGCTGCTGGTGTTGCTGCTGCTGGTGCTGCAGTTGTCGCTGTCCGTCGTCGTACAGTGAGCCGTACTGGTACGGCTGGTAAGGCTGCATCGTGAGCGTCGTCGATACCGAAGCTGGGTGAGGCAGGTCGGTGGAGGGGAAGGACGTGGACACGGCGTAGCTCTCGACTGGCGTCTGCGCGAAACGACGTGGTCAGTACGGTACCGAGGAAGAGGTGGTACAGGTGGACGCACAGCGATTATCGGACGCGCTTTGTCGAAAGAGGCTGCGGCGTGAGACGTCGGTTCCTCCGGGTAAAGGGGTGCGCTAGTCGAGGCTAGCTACGAGTGGGTGGTGACTGCGTGACGCGAACAATCCATGGTCAGTGCCGTGCGAAGGAGGCGGGCGCAAAGAGAAGGGAGACGAACCTGCTCGGGGACGAGCAGACCGAGGTGGGATCCGGTTGGACGGAGGCGGGTGTCCCAGGCGGCTCTTCTTGGTTGTCAAGAGCAGGGAGGAACTCGAGCTCTATCGTACAGAGACCGCGGCAGGCGTCTGCAGGGAAGGGAGCGCGCGGGAGACGCGCGGACGGTCAGCTCTCCGTCGCGGAGGAAGGTGGTGGCGTCTCGGACAAGGAAGCTCAGGTGTTTGACGCTGGGGACTCACAGCGATTATCGGACGCAACTCGAGGCCGGGTGTGCTGTACTGAACGAGCTAGGTCCTCGCTGGGAGGGAGCTGGCCGGGTGCTGGCGGCGAGCTTGAAGCCTGGGTGGAGGTTGGCGCGCGAGGAGGGTCAGCGCGCACGTCCCTGCTGGTCCCGCGAGTGGTCCACGCACCTACTAGGGTCCCTCGGAGAGTACTGTACGCTGTTTTACACGCCAGGGTGGGCGACGAGGGCGAGTCGAGCGGGTGTCAGCTGTGCTGGTTGATGAAAGGGTCCGGCTGGGACAGGGCTGTCGTCGCCTCGTACGCGTGTCGGGACAAGTCCAACCTGTCCCAGCGCCACTGTACAACGTCTGTAGAGCGGATTCGGTGCGACTCACGTGGTAGGGCGCGAACCGGCTGGGTTGTCGACTCGGGTTGCGGGTTGCGAGTTGCGAGAGTCGCGCGCGGGGTGTGTGGCTGCGGGTAGTCTGCTCTGTGTGGCCTAGCGTAGTCGGAGGCAGCTGTTCGAGCGAGACTGGGTGCGAGCGCGGTGTGTGGGTGAGTGCGAGTTCTCTCTCGCCGTCGCTCTCCATCGACCCCGCTCGACGACAGCTCCCAGCCATCGCCAGGGAAGGGCTACAGGGTCTGGCGGGTGCTGGGGTCGACCACAACGACCACACTCTCGATTGCACATAGCCAGACAACCAAACGAGTTGCGTCGCCGCTCGCTTCACCCTCCCGCCGTAGCCCAAGTCGGCCTCGTCGAGGAAGCGGCCGTCGTCACTCTCCCTCGTACGCTGTGAGACGGCGCACACCGGCTCACTGGGACTGCTCGACGACGTGCTCGACAAAGAGACCGTCGCCGCTGTCGCTCCCGCTCCTCCAGCACCCCCCGCCACTCGCGTGTTTATACCCGCGCTCGCCTGCGTCGTAACTCACTTCGCAGGGGTCTTCGTGCTACTCAGCACGCTCTTTCACAGCTGTTCTGGCGAGAGGAGCCGCGTCGGCGCGCCGCCAAGCTCGCTCACGGCGCACGGACACGAGGTAGCTCTACGCTGCTCGCTCTCTCTTGACGATCTCCGGAGCTGTTGCTGGCTTGTCTCGTTTTCGTAAAGTGCTCGTACCATCATGACCAGTGGCCAACAGCTGGGAGATCGCTCGCTCGCTTGATCATTCACTCGTGGGCTCGGGAAAGAAAAGAAACGAGGGTTACGACTCGTCCGTCAATAAGGCTACAACGACTGACCAGTTACGACACGTCCAGAACTCGCCTCACATCACAGCTGCGTCGGCCCCAATGCCTCAGCCAACGCGCCCCACTGTTCCGCCAGCCTCTTCGCATACGCCGTCTCGTCCGCCGCGTATCCCTTGAGCGCGAGGGAGAGGAGCGAAGCTGTCCCGCACGACGCACCATCAGTGGTCTGGATTTTCACGGGTCAGAGAGAAGCGAGAGGTGCAAACGCACTGCATCGAAACGCCCAGCCAACCTCTTCCCAAACACACCACCTCACGAAATCTCGCCTTCTCAGGAGCTGGTCAATCGAGCGTTGGTCTGCGTCGATGAGGGAGGTGAGGCGGTCGGCGTCTGCGTCGAATGTGGGCGGGCGGGGGGAGGCGGTGCGGAGGATGGAGAGCTGCGAGCGAGCGTGAGCGAGTCGGGCGGGAGAGGGAGAGCGGAGGGGAGGAAGGAGAAGGTACCTTGGAGGTGTTGGTCTCGACGCGCTTGCGCAGTTTGTCGACATTGTCGATGCCGAGCGTTGTTTGCCGCGCGAAGAGGTCGCGCAAGTTGACGTAGATCTCGCGGTGCTGTGCGTCACGGATCAACGTGCACGCTCAGTCACGGAAGCCGAGATAGCCAGGTATGTGAGCGAGAGAGAGGCGCGACGCACCCGCTTGACCTCCTCGACGACCGTCTCGAGTTTCCTCCTCGCGCTCGCGCCCTCCGTCTCGCCCACCTCTCCCGCCACCCTCGCCGTCGCAAGCACCTCCCTCTCCGTCTGCTCGACCATCCTCTGCTTGTATGCCTCTGCGCCCTGCTCCCTCTCGACCCTCACAGCCGCCTCGAGCGACTCTTTGAACGCCTCGTACTCCTTTGATTGGTTCAGACGGCGATGGGCGAGTCGGTCGAGCGTTGTGGTTATGCGGGTCCAGTGCTCGACTAGCGGGGCGATCCGTTGCCGCAAGAGGGTGAGGCGCGAGTCGAGGTCCTGGGGAAGCTTGGAGAGGTCCGAGGGGGAGAGGGTGCGCGTGTGGGATTCTTCAGAGAGATCGAAGGGGTGGGCTTTGCGGTAGAGCGTGAGGTCCTGCGTCGAGTACTGTCAGCTCTAGCTACAGGGAGGTAAGGAAAGGGAGGACACACGGTCTGCTCGTTCAGAAAAGTCGCCAACAACCCATCGTGCTTGATAACCGGATGACTCGTCAGCGCCGTCAGTGCCCTCTCCAGTCCCTTCCGTCGTCGCTCGAGGAACAGATCGTCCGCAGCGAGGTACCGTCCTTGCAGCTGGATGCGTTTCGGCGGGAGGGAGGGGAGGAGCCGGAAGGGGTAGCGCTTGGTGAGCGCGTCGAGGAGGTAGACAAAGTCCGAGTAGCGCCGTTCGACCGACGTTCCTCGCTGTACAAGGGCGCAAAAGGGAGTCAGCGTCGGAAAGGGAGAGCGGTTCGAGCGATGAGGGAAGCGAGATAAGGTCGTCAAGGCGAAGCGAGCGCACCTCTGGCTGGATCACGAGCCACACGTGGTGTTTGGAAAACAGCGAGCCCTCCATATCACCCTTCAAGGCGAGTTGCACCCGACTCTGAGCGGGAAGTTGCCATGCCTCGTCGCCGTCCCGTCCGCCCAGGATGTTTCCGCCAAATCCGCTGGGCCCGTTGCCCTCCATTCCACTCGCCCCAGCTCCATCGGCGCTGTCAATCACAGAGTAGTCGAGCTGCGACGGTGACGAGGTCTGTCCGAGGGGTGGGGGAAGGGTCGTCGAGAGCGGCGGCGTGTCCTGCGTGCCCCAGCCGTTCGAGTAGCTGCTGTAAGAGTATGTGCGAGGTCGCTCGTACGAAGCCATTTCCTCCAGCGAGCGAGTGGGTGAGCGGGACAGGCGAGAGAACGCCTCGTCGAGGGTTGCCTCACGATTCGACCCTCGACAACGGCAGGATGGGCTCGAACTTCTTCAGGGGCACAAGTCTGGATCAGGTGCGTCCGAGCGAGCCACTCTTGCGAGCGCGCATGACCGCTGACCGCTTCCTGTCCTCCTCCTCGAATCCTCATCAACCTCGCGACTCGTGTGCCGCCCACCGCCTCGCCTGCTTGTCTGTGGCGCTGCCTGTTCTCTGCTGCTGGATGTGTGACGCTGCAGGACCCGCGGTTCAAGGACAAGCAGTCCGCGCTGCTGCGCAAGACCCAGTTCCCTCCTTCGTTCGACACCAAGGTGAGTTGGCGTGACAATGCGCTCCAGACCATCGTTGCCCGCTTGGTGCAGCGCGGTATTCTCGCGGTCGAAGATAACGTGATTGTTCACGCTGACTCCATCACACCTTCTGCAGGTGGACATGCGCAAAGTCGAGGTGCGTCTCCGCTCCTCTCACTCCGGCTTCCTTTTCCATGAGCTGACAGACGTGTCCACGGCCCTGCAGATGGGCGTCATGAAGCCATGGATTACGAAGAAGGTCATTGAATTGCTGGGCTTCGAGGACGACGTCTTGATCGAGTACATCTACTCCCTACTCGAGGACCCTGAGAATCCGGTAAGTCGTGCGTTTTCTGCGTGACACGAAAGCGCTTGTGTGCGCGGATACCGAGTTGCGACTTTACGAAAGAAACCCTTTCATAACTCGCTGGAGCTCGCCGTTGCAAGCTGACGCCTCTCACGTCCTGCGCGCACAGGTCGTCGACGGCAAGAACATGCAAATCCTCCTCACCGGCTTCCTCGAATCGAAGACCGCCGCTTTCATGAACCATCTGTGGGACCTGCTCCTCTCCGCCCAATCGAACCCTCTCCGCGTCCCGACCGAGTTGCTCGAGGAGAAGAAGCGCGAGATGAGGGAGCGTGAGCAGCAGGAGGCGTTGAAGCGGAGGCAGGAGGAGAGGATGGATGAGGTTAGGAGGTCGGAGAGGGAGAATAGGCGTGGACCGGGAGGAGGCGGTAGGGGTGGGTACGGTGGAGGTGGCCCGCCTGGGAGGTTTGATGACAGGCGCGATGAGGGCTACCGAGGAGGTGGTGGTCGAGGAGGCTACGGAGGACCGTCGCGAGACGCAGGTTACGGTCCCCGCGCGGGAGGAGGAGGCGGTGGCTACCATGATGCCTACAGCAACCGAGTGAGCACTACCTCTGCGAGAGCCTTCCAGGTCTGTGCTGACACAGGTTCTCCCACAGCGCCCTCCACCTCGCGGCCGCTCGCCCTCCGTCACCCCTCCCCCGCGCCGCCGCTACCGCTCTCGCACCCGCTCCATCTCGCCTCCTCCGCGCGGCCGGTCCCGCTCGCTCTCTCGCACTCCTCCGCCCCGCTCAGATAGACGCCGCTACCGCTCGCCCTCGTACTCGCGCTCGCCTTCGCCTCGTCGCAGGTCGAGGCGGAGTCCGAGTCCCGATCGCAGCAGGAGCAGGAGCCCGCCGAGGAGGCGTGGTGGAGACGGTAGGAGGTCGCCGTCGCCTGGAGAGGGAGGGAGGCGCAGTGCTTCGCCGGCCCCGAAGAAGAGGCGCGACTATGATGAGCGAGACGAGCGACGTTCGCCTCGCGGTGCCCGCCGTTACGACGATGATCAGCGACGAAGGGGTGATGGCGGGAGGTCGCCGACCCCTCCGCCGACAAGGGATGCGGGACGACCCAAGTCGAGGTGGGAGGAGGACGAGGAGAAGCCATCGACAGGTGGTGCAGGAGTGCGTCTGCTCTCGAACTCGTCCTGTGTAAGGACTTGTACTGACCGTATGGCTCGTGCAGAACCAGGAGTCGGAGCTTAAGGAGAAGCTCCTGCGCAAAAAGATCGAGGCGGCGAGGCGGTCGTCGCAACAGTAGACGCCGTCGAGCGACTCCACTGCGCTCATCCAGCGCTGCAACAATCTCGTTGCACTCACATTTCTACGATCCCGACACGCAGATTCTGCCGGTCATCCTCGACGACGGCCTGCGCTACTTTGTCTTCGCACGCTCGGCGACTCTGAACGCAATGCTCGCTCGCTCGCCCTTCCCGGCTCTGCTTGGCGCGGCGATAACGACGACGCTAAACTGCGGGACGAAGGGGCTCAAAGCCTGTCGTGGCGAGGCGATCAGCATGCCTAACAAACGCGACCGCGCGGAGACTTTGCCGTTTCGCCGCTCGCTCGCTCGGGGATCTCGCCCGGAGCCGCCATTGAACCGGTTGTGCTGGACGCGGTGGGAGTGGTACTGCTGGCATTTAGCAAGTTGCACAAGAGACTCGCTGGGAAGCAAGAGCGAGACGAGCGATTTGTTTTGGCGAGACGGGGAACCTGCTCGCCCTCGTCTAACACCGCTCACCCGCTCGTGCTCGCTCGCTTGGAAGGGTCGTCTGCTCGCCTGGGACCGTACAAGCTCAGCCAGACATCCGTCGCCAGTCCGCGGACCCGTGTCACCGCTCCTTGTCCTCATCAGCAAGCTCGCCCTGTTCCCGCCCACCACACCCCGGCACGGCAGCGCAGCGCTTAGGAGACGCCTTACACGGTCTCAGAAGCAGCAGGAGGACCGGTCTCGCCGAGCGATGGACCACAGCGCGAGCGCACACCCGTCGCCCACTTCCTCGGGCGGTTTCGCTCCGAACAACGCACACAACGCCTTCCTCGACCCTTCGCTCTCGGCCCTGCATGACTTTCTCGCGAGCAACTCGACGGGCTTCCCGGGCTCGCCGCAGGATGCGGGCGGGTTGGACGGGACGGGCGGGAATGCAGCCGGCGGACACCAGGCGGCCAACTTGACCGACTTGCTGGCAGAGTTCACGACGAACGTCATGAGTCCGGATGCGTCGAGCTCGAGGGGCGGGATGGACGCGAGTGCGTTGACGCAGGGACTGATGGGTTTCGGGAACGGGATGGGAGACGGGTCGAGTCCGCATGGGATGGAGGGGCTCGCAGGCGCCAAGTCGGCGCAGGAGATCCTCCTCGAGCATCTCAAGCAGAGCTACCCGACCGCGCCCGTCGCCTCGCCCGCCTCGCAACAATCCGGCTCGCACCAGTCCTCGCCGCAAGGTCAGGCTCCTCCCATGCAGCCGCCAGGCGGCGTCGACGCGAGCGGCCAGATCGTGCCCGACTTGCAGCAACAACTGCAACAGCTTTTCGCCCAGACGGGCGTCTCGACCAGCCAGACGCCCACCCCGACTGGCCCGCCTTCCGGCTCGTACCAGCCACAACAGCAGCAGCCTCCTCACCCGCACAGCCATCACCCTTCACCCCACTCGCACTACATGCCTCCTCAGTCACCAGCGTCCTTCTCCCACCCTTCTTCGTCTCAACACGCCAGTCCGATGCCAGCGTACCCCGGCTCGGGTCACCCGTCGCCTTACCCTCAGACTTCGACCACCGGCTCTCCCTACGCCCACCAGACACAACAGCAGTCGCAATACCCTGCCCCGCCGCCCGGCTCGAGCGCGACGCCCGTCCAGCCGGTCTTTGCTCTCCCGCAAGCCCAGCTCGCCGCGCTCCTGCAGGCCCAGCAGAACGCAATCCCGATCCAGGCGCAGATGGCGGCGCTGCAGTTGATTCTCAACGCACAGCTGCAGGCGGGCGCACAGGCTCAGGCTCAGGCGCATGCACAGGCTCAGGCGCAACAGCAGGCGCAACATGCGGCGGTTCAGCAGCATCAGCATGCGCAGAATCAGCAACATGCTCAGCAGCAACACCAACAGCAGATGCAGCCGTTGCAGATGCCGCAGAACGGCGGCAGTACGGCTGGCAACAGCATCGACGGCTCGTACCGGGACAACGAGGTACGTTCCCGCTCCATTGCGGCATCTTATTGACCACGCTGACAGTCCTCTCACGCAGTTCATCTTCTCGCCCGCCATGTCGCCTATCATGACCCCTCACTCCGCCTTCACCGCCGCTTCCTCCCTCCCTCCGTCCGTCGGCCCTCTCCCCATGGTCTCGCCAGCCGACCTGTTCCCGCCCCTCACCTCTCCCGCCCTGGGCCCACAACTCTACGGCAGCGACATGCAGCCCCGTTCAGGCGCCCATCACGCGCACCGAAACTCGCTTCAAGGGCTTGTCGACGGTGTCGGCGCGCTCTCGACCCAACTTCCGCCCGGCTCGCCCACTGCCTACTTCTCGCCTCGACTTGGCCCGTCCGATGCCGGGACGAGCACGGGCGCTGGTGCAGGTCGGCGCGGAGCGAGTAGTTCGAGCAAAAAGACTCGCCCGAGCCCGCTCATCAAGCCTACGCCCGACTCAGCTTTCGACCGGCGGCGACGGAAAACGCAGTCTACCGGCGCAACGAATGGCGGTGACAAGCGGGTATCTATGGGCGGCAGCAAGAGCGCGACGAGTTCGCCGTTCTTCGGACCGCAGCAGGGCGGAAGGAACGGCGGCGGGGTCTCGTCTGCGGCTTCGTCAACGAAGGGTGGCTCGCCGAACGAGGCGGGCAACGTTTACCAGACCAACGTATCGGCCAACTCGAGCGCGAACGGCAGCGCTGCGAGCGTCGACACGCCTAGTCCCGTCGATCTGCCCGCCTCGCAACATCAGCTTCACCATGTCCACCCGCCTCCGTCGATGTACGCTGTCTGCCAAGACGGGCAGCCCATCCCCGCCCCGGCTCTCCCTTCACACGTCTTCTCTGCCCAACCGCCTACGCAGCAACAGCAGTCGGCGCAACAGTATCAACAGCAGCAGCAGCAGCAACAGTACCAGCAGCAGCAACCTTACCAGCTTGAACCGATGGGTCCGCCACCGCCGCCTTCGTCTTACAACCCCGTCACGCCCGCTTCCTTCATGAACTTCGCCTCCGACTTCAACGTCGACAGCATCTCCTCCCTCTCGCCCTCGCTCAACGCTGTCGCCAATCCTACCGGCCAGCAGTTCGAGCCGTCTTCCTCGGCCCTTTCGTCGCTGCAGAACAGCCCGGCTCTCCTCCCGCAACCCGACTCCTCCGCGCCCGTCTACGAGGAGGACTTCATGCCTCCTCCGCAGCCTTCTTCGAGCGGCAAGGCGCCAAAGACGCGCAAGACCCCCTCGGCTAAGCCGTCGCCTGCACTCAAGCCGGTCGATGCGAAGAGCAAGGGCAAGGGCAAGTCGAACTCGCCTACTGCGGCGGACGGGAGCGGCTCGTCTGGATCGTCGACGGCGACTGGGGCGAAGAAGGGTGCGAAGAAGGTCGGGCCGAGTCCTCGCATCGGACCCAGTCCCAAGATCAAGCCTCTCCTCGGCAGCGGTGCGTCTCGTTTCGGAGCCTGGCTCTCCCCGACTCTGCTGACTCTTCTTCTGTAGGCGCTGCACCCGATGCGCAAAGCCGCCTAGCCGCGAAGAGCAACTACGAGAACATCCTCGACGGACGAGGACCTGACTTGCTTGGTCTGCCTCCCTCGATGCAGTCGGAGCTGCAGACGAACGCGACACCCTCCGGCGCCACCGCCGAGACTCGTCGCTCGTCGCATAAGGTCGCCGAGCAGAAGCGCCGCGACTCGCTCAAGTTGTGCTTCGACGAGCTGCGCCGAATCTTGCCGCCTATCCTCCCGTACACCGACGAGGCGGACCGACGACCAGGTGACGGCAATGTCGGTGGACAGCGCCACGGCGAGATCGACCCGGAGAACCCGAACAAAGGTGTCAGCAAGGTCGCCTTGCTACGGCGGAGTAACGAGTACCTCGATATCCTTCGCGACCGGATCGACCGCCGCGACAAGGCCATCTCGGCTTTGCGCTCGCACATCACGCAGATGAGGGCGCAGCTCGGCATAGAGGAGCTTGGCGAAGAAGATGAGGAGGTGCCGGGCTTGGACCTTGATCTCGACAACATAGACAAGGAGGAGAAGCAGGCGGGCAACCTGGCATTCTGTGCGTTCCTGCTGCCCGTCCACTCTCGCTCCCTTGGCGTTGCTAACTCGCTCGCGCTGCAGACGAGGATCTCGACTTTGACCAAAAGGTGCCGTCCCTTGTCGCCCGAAGACCGTCCACCTCGCGCCGTTCCAACGCTGCGAACGGTGCCGAGCCCAGACCGCCGACTCGTGCGACGGGAACACGCCGCTCGGCTCGCACCGCCAAGCTTGAAGAGGCGATGGACATTGAGAAGCAGGAAGAGTTTGAATGAAGCGTTCTCTTTTGGTTCCCGGTCAGTATTCTCCGCTCCGTCATCCAGCTGTTGTTCTGTGTTATTCCTGCACCCCATCCGCAATGTTCAACTCGACGTCGACATCGTCTTTTCGCCGGCGCCGCCTCTCCTGTCTTCGGCTGATCCGACCGAGTCCGCGGACCTTTCGACCCTGTCGCGCCTCGCTTTCCTCCCTCCCTCTCACGTCCCACACGCTGGCGCTGCAACGTACATGGGTCGGCATGCTCGCGCTCGCCGACGAGACGACTCGAGCGACGGCGACTCGACTGGCTCGTCTTCCTCGCACGATTCCGACGACGAGTCGACCGCTTCCTCCCACGACCACTTGCGTCGCGAGAAAGGCGACAAGCGGGATACAGATGACAGCGATGAGGAGGACACAGTATCGGAGGCGTCGAGCGTTTGTCATTCCCTTCGCGCTTCGCCAGCCCAGATTTGACCTTCCTCCGACAGAGCGACGATTCCGACGATGTACATCACCATCGACATCGACGAAAGAAGCGGACAGAGATAACTTGGTTGGGTGTCGGCGGGGCCGTCCTGCTTCTCGCGCTCGTCGTCGGCATCGTTTTCGCGACGAAGTCCTCTTCTGCTGGCTCTCCATCTGCCAGCTCGTCGTCTCCGGCGGGAGGGAGCAGTGATAGTGGAGCGGGCGGTGCTGGGGGAGGCGACAATCCGACGACGGATCTCGCGACGGATCCGACCGTGCGTTCGTTCTTCTGCGATTTCCCATTTACGCTGACAGACGTTTCTCGCAGGGTTCTCCTGTATTGCAGGACATTCCTTCATCGGGGAGCGCTAGCGCTACCGCTACCGCGCCCGCCAGCTCTGGCAGTCCCGCCGCGAGCGCCGGACCTTCCCAAGGCTCGTCGAAAAGTTCCGCAGCGACGCCTGCGGCTTCGCAACCTGCAGGAGGAGGAGGTCCGTACAAGCTTGTCACAACGTACGCTGGCACCACCTTCTTCGATGGCTGGACGTTCTGGGATACGGCAGGTTCGTCTTGCGTTGATTCGTCCTGACGAGGAGGCAAGGTTGCTGAACCTCGTCGCTGCAGACCCGACGCATGTGCGTTCGTGTCGCCGCCTCGCGATAATGGGAGCCTCGCTGACTTCAGATCGCAGGGCCAAGTCACCTACCTCAGCTCGAGCGCCGCGACGAGCAACAAGTTGATTTCGACGAGTGCCAAGTCCGCTGTCATGGTCAGCTTCCTTCCCTTCCCTGCATATTCTCCTACTCACGAGCATGTGCAGAGAGTGGACAACACGACGAAACTGGCGAGCGGAGCGCCTCGCAACTCCATTCGGTTGCACTCGAAGGACGCGGTCAAGATCAACTCGCTCATTATCGCTGATATCCTTCATATGCCGACCGGCTGTGCAAGTGCGTGCGCTCCAGTTCACTCGCGATCTGCTTGCTGATGTTCCTCGGTCGTGCAGCTTGGCCAGGTAATTCCCCTTTCTTCGCTTTACGCGCCGCCTGACCGGCTCCTGTTCCCGTCCACTGACCTGTGAGCTGAGGTTCCACAGCGTGGTGGAGTAACGGACCCAATTGGCCCGCCGGAGGCGAGATGTGCGCCCCCGACCTGCTGCCGTCTCTCGTATTTAACGCTTTCCCCTCGCAGCGACATCGTCGAGCAGGTGCACGAAGCGACAGTCAACCAGTACACGCTGCATGTCAACGACTCGGACTGCAAGCGAGCAAGCAGCCCCGACATCACCGGTACAGCGGTTGCAGCCAAGTGAGTTTGCCTTGCGCGTCCTCGCCTTGAGCCGTAAGCTGAGCGTTTCATCCTCAGCGACGACTGCAACGCCCACACCAAGGGCAACACCGGCTGCTCGTACAGCGAGACGGCGTCCAACTCGTACGGCGCTCCCTTCAACAAAGCCGGCGCGCCCTGCTCACTCCTTCCTGCCTCTCGACTACGACTAACTCCTCCGTCTTGCAGGCGGCGGTGTCTTCGCCACACTCTTCTCCAGCGACGCCATCAGCATCTGGTTCTGGTCGCACGGCGGGACCGACTTGCCGAAGAATATCGCGAGCGGTGCGCCTGACATGTCGACTTGGGGCAAACCAAGCGCGAGGTGGCCGAAGAGCTCGTGCGATATCGGCAAGTACTTCCAAGACCAGTGAGTCGGCGGAAGTGTGATCCTCGCAACGAGTCGTCGTTGACAGCCTCGCTCGTTGACCGGCAGGACCCTCATCTTCGGTGCGCTCGCTTCCGCTCCCGCCAGATAGCACACATATGAGCTGACTTCGTGCTGCTCGACGTCCTAGACACAACGCTGTGGTACATCCTCCTCTTTTCCGCAAGTTGCGGGAGAAGCTGGACTGACTTCCTTCTCGTTGCGCCTCCATATCAGCGGCGACTGGGCTGGCGCAGTGCGTCGCCGCACCTTCCATCTTGCGAGCCTCCAGAGCACGACTGAGACTTGTCCTCCGCAGGTCTGGCCGTCCGAGTGCTCTGCCAAAGCGCCAACTTGCGCAGACTACGTCGCCGACCCGACGCACTTCAATGACGCCTGGTGGGAGGTTGCGAGTATCAAGGTGTATTCGATTTAGCGCAACAGCAGCAATGTACGAGGTCTATAGAGCCAGTCGAGGAGAGCGAGCGAGAGCAGGGTGCGGAAGAGGCGGGACGAAGCGGGAGCGGTTGCCACTTGGTTGGTCAGACTTGTAGACCTCCGTAGAGTCTCGCGAGAGCGTCGCAGAGCCAGCCCGTCGAGGGGTGTGAACTGTCTCCGCCGACAGACGAGCAGCCTCTTCATCTTCGCCCAGCGCAACCAGCCCACAACACACCGCAGCGATGGCCATTGCACCAATCACCGGCATGCTTAGGAAGCACGTGAGTCCCATCGCACTCTGCGCAGCGCGCCCTGCCGCCGTCGAGACCAACAACGACTGACGAGACCATCCTCCCCGATCCGCTCCTCTCCCTCTTCCCGACATTCGCCTGGCCCGCCGTGCTCTCCTGACTGCTGCATCTACCCCTGCGAACCGACTGCAACCTGCTTGCGGCCTCCCCGACTTGCGACGCCAGCTCCTCACCAACCTCTCCATCGGCCTTGGCGGTGGTGTCGTTGGTGCGTCCTGATTCCTTGCTGGGTAGCTCATGATGCACGCAAGCTAACCTTGGATTGTGCCCACAGCCGGCTACGCGTTCTGGTCAGTTGCGGGCGCAGAATCAACGGCACACCTCCCTCCGTCCTTCCACTGCCGCTGACCTCCCTTCATGGTGCACAGGTACGGCGTCCACCTGCCCAACGTCCGCAACCGCGACGCGTGGTACCTCGCCTACCAGGAGAACAAGGCGAAGGCGGAGTCGGAGTAGACGGGTGTCGAGGATGGCCAACGGGAAGTCTCGGAGGTTGGCAATGGATGAATGGCCTTTTCGTGACCTTCCGGCCTTGTCGGCTCGACTGTCGAGTGACGATGGCGCTATGAGGAGCGAACGACGTCGCCCGCTGGCGGGTTGGCGGGCCAAGCTGAATTAGGAGGAGGAGGACGAGGTCGACGTGCTTGCGGCCTCTCTCCTTTCCCCTTTGACCCCGCCGCCGCAGCCGCCTTCCTACGACCAGCGTCCTTGACGACTGTATGGATCGGCGCAGCTGGACCTCGACGACTACCGGGCCACGCCTGCATGTGCGGGCCTCAGCGACCGCTTCTCCCATCTCCGCCTTCGCTTCTCCTTCTCTCGATCACACGCCATTCTCCGGCTCCCACGCTACCGACAGATCAGTCCCCGGTCCGCGCCTCGCTCATGCTCGAACCGACACCGACTTCTCCGCGCGGGGTATTGGCAGGCCTCAGAAGGAGCAGGATGGAGTCGGCGGTATGGCTGACTGAGGCGCTCCTGCTGGTTCTCCTTCTTCCACTACACTTAAGCGCTCGAACGGACAAGCTAGTATGGCCATCGCTCCGATTCACGGCATGCTGCGGCGCTCGGTGCGGTCTGCTCGCAGCGCTCCTACTCTTCTGCTGGCTCACCATCGCGCCGTCGTCCTTCTCCTTCATGACAGGCCATCAAGCACGTCACACTCGGTATCTCAAGCGGTCTAGCAGGCGGCTACATTTTCTGGCGAGTCCCGCCTCCTTCCTGCCCCTCAGGCTTGGCTCACCTTCCTTGCTTGCCGACGCAGGTACGGCTGGCACATCCCCCAAGGTGAGCCCTCCGTTCTCTGACAGCTCACACGCGCTGGAGTTCGGGCAGGACCCTCGAAAAACGAGATCGACTGAGACTTTTGCTCTATTCGTACGACCTTGCCCCGCCCACTGTCCTCGCACCCCTCGATGACCGACGACGACGTTTGCTTGACGATTTGGTGGCAGTGCGGCGCCGAGATGAGTGGTATTTGGAGCAGGAGAGGCGGAAGCAGGCTGGAGAAGCGTAGACCGGCTGACTGGCATAGACGGTTGGCGAGGGACAGGCTGCGCGCTCGGATCTTTCGCGGCTATCCAAGCATCCGTTGACAGCAGAGCGAGAGAAGATGTCCTTTCGGCACAGATCCGATGCGGATTGTGCTTCAGATTCCCCAGACTCTCCCCTAAGCCGCTCTACGACAGACTCGCGCCAACAAAGTTCGGCGCAGCGCAAACACCCTTGTCCGTAACAATCTTGTGCACCTTGCCCGACTCCTTGTCGACCCACGCCGCATCCTTGTTCTCGAGCGTGGTGAACCCGGGCTGGACAGTCTCGAAGATCTTCTTCTTCGGGTTGAGCAGGTCGAGAGGTTGCTTGTCGGCGAAGCCTTCGAAGTAGACGCGGTCGCCTGGCTGAGAGCCTGCGGGAGGGTTGACGAACTCGACGCCGCCGTCCTTGCCGTCGGGCGAGGTGGCCTGCGAGGAGCTGTCAAGTCAGCACAGCGGGGGGTCTCGGGAGGTGCTACGAGTCGACGCACGCAGAGGACCATGGCGAACGACTTGACACCGCGCACTGGAGTCGCAAGTCCCGGTCAGCTCCGTCGGAGTCGAGGAAAGAGGAGGAGAACGCACTGCTTGCGGGCTTCAGGTTGCAGACAGTGATGAGGGTAGCGTTGCACACTGCGAGGTGAAGCTGGTAAGCGGTGCTCCGGTCAAGGAGGGGACTCGAGCGGACTCACTCTCGTCGAGGGTCTTGTACTTGACGAGACCCGAGACGACCGTACGGGGCTCGGCTTCGCCAACGTCAATTTGCTCGACGTAGAGCGAGTCGGCGTCCGGGTGGACCTTGACTGCGAGAGGACGAAGGATACGAGTGAATTCACACCGCTTCAAGCCGATCAAGTTACGACGTTAGCCAGCAACTCACCGTCAACGATCTTGCCGACACGGAGATCGACCATCCAAGGCGCAGGTGCCTCAGCGACCGGCGCAGGCGCAGCGGGCTTCTTCTCCTTGGGCGACTTCTCCTTCTTCTCACCCTTGGGCTTCTTCTCGCCCTCTCCCGGCGCCGCAGCCTTGGCCTTCTGTTCGCCCTTGACCTTGTCACTCTTAATCTTCTCGACCGGCGCCTGTTTGACCTCAGCAGCCGGAGCAGGGGCGGCAGCCTCGCCAGCCTTGGGCTTCTTCACCTTCGCATCGGGCTTGATCTCGACGACGGGGACGTTGTTGACGTCGATGGAGACGACGGATGGAGAGAAGGTGGCGGAGCGGGCGAGGGCGGTCGAGACGAGTGGGAGGTGCTGGATGTGGTCGAAGTGACGGGTGAGAGCGGGGTGAGAGAGGAGGGTCGAGTGGGAAGCCTGGGCCTGTGTAAGCTCGCATATGTCAGTAGCGTTCGATAGCTTCAAGAGACGATAGTGCTGACCATGTACGGGTGGACGGCTGCAAAGATGCCCAAGTCGCCCGCAGTGAAAGTCTCGCCCGCAACGTACGTCTTTGAGGTGAGCTCAGCATCGACAGCCTGAGCAGGAGCGTGCGTCAGCAAACTGTCAACGATAGCAAAGCTACAGGGAACGCACCTTGAGCTCCTCCGGCTTCTCGACGTCGAGCTCCTCGACCTTCTTCAGCCAGTTCTTTGCCTGCGTCTGCTGCTCCTCCAAGGCACCGAGTGCATCATTCGTCTTCCCTGCCGCCTCGAAGAGCTGGGAAGCGACGTCTGCAAGCGAGGTGACCTCCGAAGAACCGGTCGAGAGGGAGACCTGGCGAATGTAGGCGAGTGTGGGTCAGCGCCAGGCGCGAGAAGAGCAGCGACTGGCTGGGACGCACCTTGTCGCCCTGCTGGACGGTTAAGTCGGGCACGTACTGGCCGTAGACCTCGTTGATGAGGGTCGCAGCTCGTCCGGCAGGAGTCGAGGAGGAGAGGGTGAGCGAGGGAGCCATTCGAGCTGCGGAAGTTGACAGGTGTCTGTGTAGGGCACTCGAGAGTCCAGCAGCGGTTCTAGCGAGCATGCACCGGCACTCGGGAGCGCTGGCGAGCGAGTTGGCAGAGGGAGACCTCGTCGCGGAATCCTCTGCCATCTCACTGCTCTGCGACTCGCTCGCAACCGCACCAGGCAGCATGTTGAGCCGGTCACTAGGTGGGTAGGAGTTCACGAACACATAGAGCTAACCGCCAGCTCACCGGGTGCCGTCGTTCTCGCGCAGCTTCATCGTCGCGCTTGATCGCCTCGACCTCGCGGACAGCGGCGTGTACGGCGTGTGCAGGGCAGCAGGGTGCGGCACGGGCATTCTCGGCGGCAGCAGCACGGCGAGCAGAGTCGTCGCTTCCTGGACCGCTTCCTCACTACGCCCACCCGAACGCCCTCACTTCCCAGCCTCTCCCTCAATCGTCTGCCTCTGCGTGAGTCCTGCGTTACTCTGCCGATGTGTGAGCGCCGTTGTAGCTGACCCTGAAGTGCCCCCGCGCAGCTCTGAACTCTCCGCTCTCGCCCTCCTCCGCTCCCAACCCTCTCACTACATCGTCGCCCTGTTCATGGGCAAACGCTACATCCTCGCGCCCGGCGACGTCCTCACAGTTCCCAATCTCAAGAACACCAAGGTCGGCGACCGCCTCGCCCTGACCCGCATCCTCGAAGTCGGCTCGCGCGACTACACCCTCCGCGCTGGCCAGGACCGCATGCATCCCGCCGCGACAGCTGCGATCGCCTCCTCTGCCCAACTCGCCGCCAACAAGGTGCCGATCACCCTCCGACCACCGATGACCCGCGTTATCAACGTCGACGGCGTCCCGCGCGACTGGCAGCGACACCCCGACAGCCTGCCGTACCTCTCGCAGGACGTCGTCCAGGCCGACATGACGGTCCTCGAGCACACCAAGGGCAAGCAGTTTACGGTTGAGAAGTTCAAGAAGCGCAAGGGGTACCACCGGACCCTCCGCTTCAAGCTGGGTTTCACCAAACTCCGCGTCGGCGACATCAAGCTGGGCCAGGCGTGAGCGATCGTCTCGCTGAGGTGCGCACAATCTGACTTGTGCAGTTCGTCGCCGTGGCTGACCCTTGCTTGCGTTTTCTAGACTCCGCCCAGTAGAAGGAGACCCGCACCTGCATTGTACCATTTTCGTTCAGCCATTCTCCGCGCTTCGTTCTGCGCGGTCTGCAGCACTGTCTACTGCTCAGGAAAGCCGTCCCCAGCCATTCCAGCAAGCGAACATTTCGTTCGTGGCCAGCGCGAACCAGGCGCGCCTCCTCCTTGATCGTTCTCGCTCGTCCACACGCTTGCTTCGAGCCAGACTGCCGCTGGGGCTGCCACAATGAGCATCGCAGCCAATCTGATCCGACCAGTCGTCATCTGCGGTGCGCTCGTCCCGTCTCTCGCGCCCCGCTCACTCCGCCAGACCAACGAGCTGATCCTGCTCTCCACCGCCCCGTTCGACTCGCTGTGATTGCTGGGACTGGTTGGGACGGATACAGGCCCGTCTGGAACGGGCAAGAGCACCCTCTTGAAGAAGCTCTTTGTCGAGTTCCCCGACCGCTTTGGGTTCAGCGTCTCCCGTGCGTCCGTTCTCCTCCTTCCGTTCAAACGCGGGCGAATCTAACACATCGAGTCTCTACTCGCACAGATACCACGCGCGCGCCGCGACCAGGCGAGGAGAACGGCACCTCGTACCACTTTGTCACACGCGAGCAATTCCTCGACCTCGTCAAGGCGGACGGCTTCATCGAGCATGCCGAGTTCAGCGGGAACATGTACGGCACGAGTGTCAAGGCGGTGGAGGATGTCAAGAAGGGCGGCAAGATGTGCATCTTGGACATTGATACCCAGGTGCGCCTCTCTCGCTCAAACACCTCCGTTGAAGAATAGCTGACGAGTAGGCTGTGATCAACAGGGCGTCAAGCTCATCAAGAAGAACCACCCCTACCTGAACCCGCTCTACGTCTTCATCTCGCCTCCCTCGCTCTCCTCCCTCAAGACCCGCCTAACCGGGCGCGGCACCGAATCCGAGCAGTCCATGTCCGCACGACTCGCAGCAGCAGTTGGCGAGCTCGACTACGCCAAGAGCGGCGCGTTCGATGTCGTCGTTGTCAACGACGACCTCGAGCGGGCGTACAACGTGTTGAAGCAGGTTATCATCGAGGGAAAGACGGAGGCGGGAGACAAGCTGCCTGATTTCGAGGACAAGTAGATGTGCGAGGGCTAGCGGTGCATTCAGACACTCTCTTATCGGGGCAACCAGCGGAGGCCGCGATGTGACGCGTTTTAGCTTGCACTCGCTCGTCCGTTTCGCCTACGACAAGTCGACATCGCTGCGAGCGTACAGGCGGAACGACTTGTCGTACTGTCCGCCGGCGATGAAACGTGCATCTGCGGGAGACGAAGCAAAGTGAGCGAACGAGGAGGAAAAACCGGCTCGACGAGCGATACGCACCGCTCGAGATGTCCACGCTCATCACCTTGCCCGCCTGGTCGTTCGACATGCTCCTGACGAGCTGCCAATCGTCCGCACTCCAAACCTTGATGTACCCGTCGAACCCGCACGAGACGAGGAACGACCCGGCGACAGGGAAGTCAGGCTTCTCGCCTTCTCCTCCCTCGCTCGTCCCGTCCGGCTTCGCCTCTGCGTCTCCGCTCGCATCGGGGTCGGCCGACCCGCCGTCCGAGAAGATGGGCAAGTCCTTGAACGCCCGAGGGAGGTCCGTGAGCGGGTATGCGCCAGCTTTCGGAGGCGCCTGGAAGAACTTGAGGTCCGAGATGGCGGATTTGTGACCTGGGATCGTGCAGATTGCTTGGTGCATGCGCAGGTCCCAGATACGGATCGTGTCGTCGTTCGAGCCGGTCGCGACTTGGTATCTGCGAAGGAAAGGACAGGTCAGCAGGATGCTAGCGAGAGGCAGATGGATACGCACCCGTTGGGCGAGAACTCGACGGAGAGAATGTCGCGACTGTGGCCGGAGAGGACGGAGACGGTCCGACCTGACCGGAGGTCCCAGACTCGAGCAATAGCGTCGAGTCCTCTGTAGGCGTGAGAGGTCAGCAGCTGTTATGCAACAACAACAGAGAGACGGAGAAATCACCCAGAAGCCACCAAAGCGCCGTCCTGCTGGAACGCGATAGCGTAGACCTCCTTGCTGTGGCCCTCCTGCAGTAACAGCTCTCCGCCCGTCTCGACGTCCCACAATCGCCACGTCTCGTCGTACGAAGCCGAGCCGAGATAGCGGCCGGAAGGGTGGAAGGCGATGCGGCAGACGCGGTTGTCGTGGCCTGTCAAGGTCCGGAGGGAGTTGTCGCTACGAGGAGGCAAAGGTTAGCTCGGTGGAAGCGGGGCAGAGCGGATGGACTCACTTCTCGAGATCCCACAGCTTGATCACATTGTCAGCACCGCTTGTCGCAAAGTTGACGGCCGTTGCGCTCTGCGAGAGAGTCGCGTCCGGATGCCATGCAACTCCTCCTATCCGCTCTTTGTGACCTGTATGCGCATAATTTGTCAGCCGTAGAGCTCATTGAGACTGACGTGAAGACACACCCTTCAACACCCTGATCTCCTTGCACGCCGGAACACTCCACAGCTTCGCCTGTCCCGTCCAGGAGCCCGTCAAAAGCATCGACGAGTCGGGCGAGAAGCGCAGCGCCGAGATGGCGCGAGTGTCGCCGATCTGAGAGCCGAGGTTGGTGAAGCTGGAGAGGTTGTCAAAGATGGCTTTGCGGACGTCCATGAGCCGGGCGAGCGGGACAGTCGCGTCCAACCGTTGCCGCGCGAGTCGTCGTCGTGCCCTGCCCGAGAATGACTCGTCAGCACAGCAAGAGAGTCGGCAGCAAGACGCAGGAACGCACCTCGGCAGCGAGTACTCTGCAATGTCCCTCCTCGCCTTCTTCAGCGCTGCCGTACCCTCCGTGTAGAACTCCTCGTCCTTCTCGTCCTCTTCCTCGCCCTCTGATGCACTCTCCTCCTGCTCCTCGATGTCCATCGCTTCGCCCCTCTCCAGCCGCGCCTTTGCAATCAAGTCCCGCAACCGATCTCGCCTGTCTGCCGGGCCCTCACCGAACAGCGTGATGGGCTCGCCGAGCTCGCGCAGCCGTGCACGCACTTCTCCATCGTTCGTCGGGAGCGCAATCTTGCGCGCCAGCTTCTTGCGGTCGAGTTCGCTGAGCAGTCGGGCCGTCTCTGGATGCGAGGCGGAGGTCGCGAGGTCGACCTCGCGCGACTCGATGTCGTCAAAGTCGATGTCCATGGATGCCATGGTAGGTCACTGGGCTTGTTCGGCGCTTCTCGAGGGCGTGACGCGAAGATGAGGGTTGTCGGGCGATGAGTAGAGGTGGAGGAGGAGAGGGCGGGGCGGGCGGGATGGGCTGGTCGAGCGGAGTCTAAGCAAGCTCCTGTAAGCCCAGCAAGCTCGCAACTGGCAGGAAATACGAGCGAGAGGTAAAGCGAAGCAAGTTGACCTCTTCGAGGAAGCGATGTGAGGAAGTGTGCAATGTTACACCAGCTTGTACCCAGAAAGAAAGGAAGGGAATAGACGGATGAACGAGGGAAACGGCAGACGGACGCGCTAGACATGACAGAACGGAATATGAGAGAGAAGACACGGAGTCGAGAGGAGGTGAGGAGGGGACGAGGAGGACCGCCTGGGTCTGACGAAGGGGTGTCCCTGGTGCGTGGTCGAGAGCGATGCGAGTGTGCGTCAGCTGGTGGGTCAAGCATGGGCGAAGACGAAAGGATGCGAGCGAATGTAGCGAGGAATGCACAAGTATCGAGAGGGGAAATGGGAAAAGATCTATGGCGAATGTGTATGTAGTCGAGCGGCGGAAGAGATCGTAGGGCGGTGCCTCCTTCAGCGGTTGCTCCGGCCGAGCGAACCCCAGATGCCCTTGGAGATGGCGCCGAGGAGGTCTCGAGCGGTGCCGGCAACGTTGATGCCTGCTCCGACGCCACCTGCCACGCCGTTCAGCTCGTCGTCGTCAGCGCCGTACTGGTAGTCGTGGTCGGCCTGCGGAACGCGACTCGAGTCGGAACTTGCGCGGCGAAGCGATCCCTCCATCGACGAGCGAGATGCCGAGTCGTCGCGGTCCGACGATGCCCGTGCGGCACGGAGGAGCGACTGACGGGCGTACGAGAGGGACGACGACGAGGGTGAGCGCTTCAGCATGCCGCTCCCGCCGCCAGACGAGTCGCTCTCGGTCGGCGTCGAGGTTGCACCCGATGAAGAGCCGCTGCCGATCGAGTCAGATCCAGCAGACTGCTCAGCGACGGCCGTAGTCGTAGCCGTCGAAGGCGAGGGGTTGCGAAGTCGCGGACCGGACGAGGTGCGCTGGTGGCCGAGGCCGGTCGACGTCGGTGCGGAAGGCTGGGGCGGAGAAGGCGAAGCGGGCGAGGTAACGATGGGAGGAGAGACAGGTGCGGGCGGAACGCTCGCTTTGGGCGGGACGACGATGGGCGACGGTCGGTCCGCCGTCCTCCCCTTGGTCTCCTCCTTTTGCTCCGGATGCCGCTCAAAGTCCGTCTTCTTCACCTCTGCCGAGTCGTCGACGGTAGCAGGCACGGCATCGATGTCCTCAACACGCGCATCGTCGTCCTCATCATCCGTCGCGGCGCCAAGCGACTGATACCGCCTTGCCGGACTCGTTGTCCCAAACGTCGGGCTCGTCGGCGTGACAGGACCCGCTCCGAACGAGCCAAGCGAGCCCATCGAATCTACGCTCGAGCTCGTGACGATTCGTCCGAGTCCAGCCGCAACGCCCGACGGGGCAGGAGGCGGGCTGAGGTTGCCGGCGCCCGTGTCACGCACAGGGTAGGTAGGCGACTCGCTCGCCGACTCGGGGACGTCGGGCAGACCGTACGCGCCTCGGCTGTTCATGACCGAGCTGAGCGAGTCGTACGAGCCGACTTTCCACGACGGCTGGATCGCAATCGGCGCAGCCGCTCCTGCACTCGAGCAGCCTGACCGTGCAGCTGCAGCCGCAGTGGCGTACGACGCGTTGGGCGGCGAGTAAGAGGTCGGCGAGATGCTCGAGCTGCCTCTCCTCGAACTCCCTTCGCGCTCGAGCGAACTCGAGCTTCCGCGGCTCGCGCTCCGCCCACGCTCGTTCTCCTCGAACGACGCGCTGTGCCGGCCCATACTCGGTCGCACATGAGCGGGAATGGCAGTCGCAACCGCTTGAATACCGACGGGAGGAGACGAGGCAGCGAGAGGCGGCGAAGGGGCAGAGGCGTTCGAAGGGCTAGTCGAGGCGGACGAAGCAGTCGAGTCGACTGAGGCTTCACGCGATCTGCCGCCCTTGAGCGCGCTTCGTCGAGGCGGGTTGGCTTCGCGCGAAGTCGGCGCAGGGTTGTACGGGCCGCGCTGGGAGACCGACGCGACCTGGACAGAGGAAGACGAGGGCGAGGTCGTCGTCGAAGTCGTGGCCGAGGACGAAGGCGACTGCGACGAGGAAGACGAAGGGAGGGTGTCGCGGTAGTGCGGGATCGAGCTGGTCGTCGCCTGGTACTGCGGGTCGAGCGTCCCGCTACCAGGATGGTACGGGCTGTTAGGCGAGTAAGGTCCTCCGCCGAGGTACGAGCTCGACTCGCTGACAGTTCCCCCGCGGTAGTTGTTGTGACTGCCGCCGATGAGGTGCGTCGAGCCATACTGCGCCATATCGTACTCGTCGCCGATGCCGACATCCGGTCCTGCGCCCGCCGCGCCAGTAAAGTAATCAAAGCCCATCGCGTAGTCGTCCTCGTCCTCTGCGTCCCACTGGCTCCGCATCGCCGACCCTGGACTCGAGTAGTCGTACATGACTCGCCGGCCCGCAGCCTGCTGCTGCTGCCTCGCCTGGTCGTCTGGACCCGCCGCTCCTCCTGCTCCCGCTCCAGCTCCGTAAGGCGCCGTCTCGACGTGCTCCTGTCCGAACGAGCCGCCCGAGCCAGGCGGACTCGCAGCGCCCTCGTCGTACTCGGTCGGATCCGAGCTGAAGACGACCGCGGGCGACGGCGCAGGATACAGCTCGACGCTCTTGAGCGTCGTCGGACCAAGGCGAGCGATCGTGTGCGGCTCCTTCGGCGCAGGCGGTCTCGCAAACGGATGCTGGCGCGGACTTCGCGCTCCGAACGTCAAGACGTCGTCGTCATCATCGTCGTCTTCCGAGTCGGACGAAGTCTGCGTCGAGTACGTCCGCGCGTCCTCGGACGAGTCGATCGCGATGCACTGCTCGACGCGGTGATTGAACGAGATGTGGCGGCGGTCCTTTTTCCGCTGTGCGCGGAGGAGGAAGGTGCTCGCGGAGGACGAGTCTGACGCTGCGCTGCGTTCGGGCGAGGACGAGCCGGGCGAATGGACGGGCGACGAGCGCTTCGTGCGGCGGTTGAGCGAGTTGAGTCGGACGAGGTGCGAGTCGGACCGGGCGTGGTGGACCGAGATCGTCGCCTGGTCCTCGAAGTCCATCGAGAGGTGCTCGACATCGGGCGAGGTCGGCTGGCCCTGGGGCATGAGGATGTCGCTCAACGACCGGTACTTGAGAATCGGCTTCGTCTTGAGCTCCTTGGCGAGCTTGCGCGCTCGTGTCCCGCCGCCTTCAGATGCGTTGCGCGACAACCGTGCGCCCGTAGCGGCGGTCGGCGCGCGAGTCGGTGTCGGACTAGGCGGGACCTTTGTCGCAGTCGGTGTCGCAGCAATAGGTGACCCGCGGCCGTCCTCCTTCTTCTCCGCCTTTTTGCTCGGTGACGGAGACTTGCTCGCATCGAGAGGTCGGAGCGACTCGAGGCCGAGGCGGGCGTTGGGGGG